TCTCGCGCGAAGAAAAAAAGGTCGCTCCCTAGCCGACGCGATAATGGAAGAATCCTGTAAGTGCGCGTAATGAAGAGGTGACAGTAAATTCTTCACGGATAGTTAAACTCGCGGCTCCTGCCGCTTCTACCATCTTTCTCGCACTATCCCTGCTACCCCGCCGCTGCGACCCGGCTTGGCTCACTTTGGGGTTTATCGGGTGGTTTTTATATTTATTACCAAGCGTACGCGCGGGCGCGGTCGGCACTGAGAACGATCCCGGATAAGAACAAGGACGATAGGGGTGCCGAAACCAACCCCTAGGTTCCCCGACGATCCCACCCTCCTGGGTTCCCCTTTCACCCCCTTGCCTTGTTCCTCCCAGAGAACGACACGACGCGTGTTTTACACCCGTCGTCGTTATCCGACGGAGTTGCAACAGATGCAAGTGCACTCTTCGACATTACTTTCTCTCTCTCTCTCTCTCTCTCTCCCCCCCTCTCTTTCTCTCTCGATCTCACGCCCCGGCTTTTTTTCTGTACCAGGTTCGACGGTATTCCCCTGAGACATCTCGGGAAGGGCCCCGCTGACCGTTCGGTTAACTAGAGTATTGTTCGATTATTATTTCGGTACATATCGCGCACTTGTTACCTCTTTGTGCGGTCATATGGCAGTCGGAGGGTGAGCGGACGAGTGTCATGCGAGATGGAAGACGTGGCGAGACAGACAGAAGACGCGATGTCGCGCTTCGTAGCGCCGAAATCGATACTACAACAAACTATAAGCTCCGTTCATCCTACCATCAATTCTAGATCATAGCTTTATCGAGTGACATTGTTTTATCAAGGCAACGGACTTTAAAAGTAGATTCTACCGTCTACGTGCTCCGCAGGATAACACCACCTGCACCGCACGACACGGGGGTAAAGCCAAATTTGGCGAAGCACGCATCAGGCGAAAAGGCTCGGAGAAGACGAAGAAGGCGACGAAAGGACGCGACGAACGCGGTGGAAGCGGCGCAGCGAAGAAGAGAACGAAAAAGAAAGAACGGACAATGATCTCCATCGTAACGCAACGCCGGGAACATCTGCTCGGCAGACGAGACGTGCGCGCGTTCCTCGGGTCGTGTCTTGCGGCGTGTCCTCCTTCACCGGGCCGATCTCCTCCCGATCGTACCGTGTTATGCCGTGCCGTGAAACTTGTCCCACCTCGGCATGCATAGGTATTCATTATCCTCGTCGTTCGGCGCCCGGCTTGCTCCTCTTTCCGCGCGATCTTTTTTGGTCCACGGGGAACATCTGCGGCAGCTGCGAGGCGGTGGACCGCCGCAGGACTCGTACCGAGTACGAGGCAGGTGCTCACCTTCCGAGGTTCTCCCTCGCCTGCCAATTACGCGTGCCTCTTTCTGCCTCCCCCACTGCCTCTCTGCATCTCCTTCTCCTCCTCGCTCCTCATCCTTTTGCTTCGCTTCTTGGTCCTCTTCTTTCCTTCAATGTTCTCCTATGTCCCTTTGTCGCTCCGTCTTGTTCCCTCCAACTCGGTACAGGTCTTTCGCGGCGCGCTGCTTCTTTGCTCTCTCTCTCTCTCTCTCTCTCTCTCTCTCTCTCTCTCTCTCTCTCTCTCTCGTCTGCTTCTTTCGTTATCCATCCTGCCACGCTCCCCTTTTTTCATCCTTTCCTCTTCTCGGCCCCTTCGCCACCTTCTACCGGCCAGCTTCGATCTCTCCTGCATGTCTCCCGTTGCCCTCGTGCCAACTTCTTGCATTCCTCCGAGCGTTTTAGCATGCTCCACCTTTCCTTCTCAATTATTGAGAAGCGGAATTCACTGCGCGCACGAGATAACACTCGCTGCCGGGGTTTTCCATTTTCTTTTCCTCGTTTCCTTTTCCTCTTTGATAAAATTGCAACAACATCCGACACGATTGTTCGTTGCAACGAGAAAATACCCGCGCCTGACAATAATGTCTCCCCATCAACACGTTGTCTTACGACCTCGATCGATCTTCCTCGTCGCGCGTGCACCTCGCGCCAACTTGTTGCGTTCCTCCGGGCGTTTTATAGCGCGAGCGCGCGCCTCCGCCTTTCTCGTTTAATTACCGTGAAAGGAGAAACGAGCATATAAATATTACTCCACCGCTTTCCCAATAAGAGAACCGACGCTCGACTGCTCGACTATATTACAACGTCATATCGCGCGCTTTCCTCCAGCCGAATGTCTCTTTTTAAATTAAACGGCTGTAAAATATGGCGCGATTATATTTCAGACACTCTCTTGCATCTCCCTCTCCCTCCTTCCACCCCTTCCTCCTGCCGCTCTTCTGCTTTCTTCGTCTCTCGTCTCGTGACTTCGCTCTCTCACTTTATCTCACGTTCCTCTTTCTTTCTAGGCTCTCTCTCTCTCTCTCTCCCTCCCCCCTCCTCTGTTTTTCAGCTGCCGCTCCGAAGAACGGCTTGTTCGCGTGCGCTCTCTTCCGAACGACGCGCCGCTCTTTGGTCCGGCGCGCAGCTTCCTTCTTTTATTTTTTTTTCTCGCCCTTCGAGATGGAAGCCGTCTGCCCACGGGCGAGATAGGGGCACGTGCACCGCCTTGCATGCATCGAGGGCGATTTGGAAATGGCTCGGAGAGAGATGTATGCGCTTACGTGGGTCGTAACATTTCCGAGGTGAATTAGGATATCCGTATTTCAGAGCTTGCGGGGAAGTTGCACACGCGCGGTTTCACGAAAAACAAGAAGCGAAGGAAAATACGTGAGCGATCGTTGGTGAGTCGCAAAGACAGCTTTTCGCTCGCGCGCCTCGCTTGTAGAAATGCGTTTTCCGGGTTGAAAACGCATTAGATACGAGAACGCGCCGCCAATACGCGCAAACTTTGTAACTCGCGACAAAAACATACAATACATTCGGTGATGGTTAATTGCGTCGGTGCGTGGGCGAGCATATACACACGCACACGCATACGCACACGCACACGTGTGTATATTGCAAGAAGAAGTCTTATCGAACTCCGAACTCCATAATGCATCGGTATCTCGCAAGTTTGCATAAGGAGTGTGAAACCGTATACGATACCGTGTACGCTTGATAGGGCATACGCTGTTTGCGTTACGCGATACAGCGCGTATCATGTTTAGCGAACTTATCTACGGTTATGCTTGCGAGATGCGCCCTAGGTTTTCCTACAGCGTAAGGGATCGGAGACCGAGATCTTCTAGATCGTTTTTCAGAACGGAGGAAAATCGTCTGATCGATCTGTCGCTTCGATCTCTTCGAGGTAAGAGGGGACTCGTCGGAAAGGAATCCTTTTTTATCGCCGCTATTCGTAGTTATCTGTACGCGGAGAAAGAAACTCGGGGTTGGGTGTGGGGCTGGATTCTCAATATCCGTCTAGACAGACGGAATTCCATCAATCTTCCGTTGGCATATTCGACCAGACGAAAACTCGATTATAGAAACGGAAAAATTCCTGTAGGAGATTTCTATTCAGTCCATTTTTTATTCTCAGTTGTGTCAACCAAGTTTTAACTCGGCAGTCGAATGTCCGGACAGACGGATTTCTGCACTCGCGATAACAGTGACGTCCTTACTTTTCAACGAGCTTTCGTTTGATCCCCATTCCGTCGCACCAATTGAGATCCTCTTTCCCTGTGAAGCTCAACATTGTAAATCCCCATTAACGCGCGACATTGCTCGCACTAATTGACGCATCTTCTGCGAATCCACGTAGTAGTTTTACGAAACTTGCACGGGCAAATTTTTTCTGGCCAAAAGATAATTGTCGATTATGCGCGTGCGTCTCGTTCGCGTTGGGCCCGGGCAAATCTCGCCAAGGAGGAAGTGAGAAATTACCGAAGGAAACGTTCGTTTCGCTCATCGTCATGCGTGACTGACGCGAAATAGAAATCACGCTGGATATTATTTACGCTGCTTCCGAAACTTGCCCGGGCCCGCCAACAACCGCACGAACACTTCGAAGAAAACCCGACTCGGCTTTGGACGGGCCACATGCCTTCCTGGTTCTCCTATCTAGCAGCTGTCCTCACGAAGCAGTGTATCTCATTCTGCCCTTAATACCGCGGAGCACCAAGAACTCACGCTACTTTACGCATCGGACGATTGCAAGACCGCCTATCTCGTGTTGCTGTTACAAAATCGCTGACTGAAAATTGCTAAAGCACACACTGCTCATTTTCTCATCTGGCTGCATTCGCAATCGACTGTTCGCATCGAAACGACTCGTTTATTACTCGCTCGATGAACCATAATAATTTTAGATTCGCTACAATAATTTTGAACTTTTTCAAAAAGCTTCACAGCATGTATTTTAATTATTTTCTGAGATTCATAGATATACACACACACACACACACACACGCGCAGGTGATCGGTGGCAAAGTAAACGGTTAAAGCAACGCGTTTCTCTTCGATGTGCTCTGCAAGAGACAAAAACCGCCAAACCGGTCAGACGATTTTGTCTTCGTTCTGAAATCCATCGGATTGTAAAGTGTTGCAACCTCTTACCGTCTACCGTAACCGTGACGGGCTTGCAATGACGGTGCAACTTTCTTCCGAGACTTATAGCGGTTAACACTGTGAAGCTGGAGAAATTAAATTTATACCGATCTTTGCAAGTTCTTCGCGGAGAAGAGAGTTGCGTAATTGTTGCGATAAATTCTCGTGTTCTCTCTCTCCCTCTCTCTCCCTCTCCCTCTCCCTCTCTCTCTCTCTCTCTCTCTCTCTCTCTCTCTCTCTCTCCCTCCCTCTTTCTGAGAAAAGGAAAAAGAGAACGCACGCGATCAACAGTGCGCTCGATATCTTCAATTACTTCGCTAATAACTCAACAAACGATCGCGAAGTGATGAAGATTGTACTCTGTCTCGTGCCGGTATCCCCGCGATATTCTTCAGCATGCGCTTAATTAACGATCGCTGACAGCCGCGAACGTTCTTATGCAACGCAGGTCGCGCAGCGAAATAAGAGCTACGCTTCATTTCTCAAAGGCGATAAATCGAACATAACACTCACCCATAAAGCATCGCCACCCCAGCTATGCCGCCGCCACATTGCGCCGCTATATAGAGCACCGCGCGAAGCGGAGAGATCCGTCTGCACAAAGCAAACGACACGGAGACCGCTGGATTCACGTGTCCACCTGCGTGCAAAAGGATTTCCGTATAAAGAACAGGGAAACATCAAAGGGACAAGACGGACGGAGATCGCGCGATCCTTTCTTCTCTTTCTTTTTTCTTTTTTTTTTAGGCACGTATGCCACACCGTTCTATCAAGCCACCTTCTCTTCGAGCGGGTTTTTCCCCAACGTTCGTTTCGTGAAAAATTCACGAGCTCAGGCATCAGACGTTTTTTTCCGAGCGACGACTTTTGTTTTCGTGCTAGTTTCACTCTGTCGCTTAAATTGTCAAATTAATCGGCCCGTTACAAGCCCGTCCGCGAAGGCGATCGATCGATTCCCCGTGACGGTGAGCAATCGCGAATTACGTGACTGTCCGATGAACTGCACAACGAGTTTCAGTTGGCGTTCGTTCGTTGCAAAGCGAGAGTGAATAACGTAGGAACGCAATCCGCGGGTTTCCGCGGTACAAAAAGCGACGCGGTAACAGCAGCAGCCTTGGCGCGCCTAAGCGCGATCACGATTTTCAAGCGTGTGCGTAGCGCGTTGAAAATCTCGCGGTAGCCCCAATAATATAAGCGTTGAGGCGATTATGCGCGCCGGGGCTGCAAGTTTGCGCATACATCGCATAACGCGCCTCGTGCATGTCGCTGGAACGTACTCCGAGAATGGCCACATGCGTTCCGACAGGCACGCACACGCAGCGCTTAATATCATCCGGATCGGCCGGCGTAATCAGTTAACTAGTCAATCGAGAGAAATCGCGAGGGCCCCGCTGACGAACGATACGACACACACAAAAGAAGGAACAGAACCATTGACGCAACGAGACTTCGTTACTTCGAGCAGCTCGCGACCCTTCGCTTAATTATTCCCTTGGCTGCTTTGTAGGAGACGCAGCCACGAGCGTCGCAGTCACGATCGGTAACGTAAGCTGAAGTCAAGTGAAGTCACGTTTACTGACACTGCACGCAATCGCATTCGGAGTGCGTCTGTCTGTCTGCGAATGCCCGCGAAGGGGACCGGCTATCGTTTATGATGTAATATTTACGCTCGAGTGTTTTCAACGTCGCAGTCGTTGACTGAGAAACGCTTCTCTTCTGGTCTGCTTGGCAGTACCAGCTGTCAAAAAGATAACTCGGGTTCGCGATTGTTCGATATAAATTATAGAGATTTATAACGATGCATCTTATGTTTTTAATTTTAACGTTGAATGAAACTAAAAAAGTTAATTATTTTCTCCTCGCATCATTTATTCCTCTCTTTCGAAAATGCTGACCCTTTCGACCGCCCCGATTAAAATAGATCGTTAATAGTCGGTATTAATCACACGATATCGGTCGACATGAATTTCGATCCGTCTCTTTCTACGCGGACAGAAGAAAACAACAAGGGATCGGTGAAATTGAGACAAAATCGAGCGACTCGTCGAGAGACTTGCTGCTGCGCAAAAATCGCAAAAAAAACATCGTCTCGGACAGAATTCGCGCGCCTCCATTTAAGCAGGACATTACGCAGCAAGACGTTCCACATAACATCTCTCTCTCTCTCTCTCTCTCTTTCTCGCTGTTACAAATTGGACCAATTGAAAATTACGATGATAACAGTATTCTCACCGCTGACATGGCTGAAGATGAGAGAGATCGCGGCGATGGCAAAGCCAGAGGCCACCGCGGTAGCTAACACGGAGAGTCCGCTTCCGGATACGGCGGAGGCCGCGGCCGCGCCGGATACCACCAGGCTGAAGAGGAAAGTAGCGAAGCACTCAACAGCTACCGCACGCCACAGCTCCAGACTGCGAGCTTCGATGGACATCGGTGCCTTCCTCTCGACGACGTCGGCATTGTTCTCCCGGAGGGCCGACAGCCTCGTCAGGATGGTGACGATGTGTGCATCCACCTCGCGCGACAACGATTCGGTCGTCATGTTTCGCTTTTGTTGCTCTCTTCTTCAAGTATGCAAATCACTATATGTTTTCGAACGTCCAAACTGTCTTCGCCTCCCTCGCCTCAAAACATGTTCTCTGCGCTCGAGGATGCAACTTTTCGGCACGTCGCCGGACACCTCGTGTCGCACTTCGTCTTTAATATCTCAGTTACGATCACTGATCTCGGTTGACTTGTCTCCCGCCTTATTGACTGCGACTCTTGCATAGAAAATCGTAGTCTTTTCTCTCGAGTCTCTCGGTGCCTCGGTGATACATTCGTATGTGTCCCCGTATTGTGGTCCCGTCGGTCTTCTTGACAGCGAATGCGAAGACGTGAACGCCGTCGGTCGCACCGAAGCGCAGGGGAAGCACCCGATGTTGCCGTACCGGCAACGCGCTCACGAGTGTCAAGCCAACCCACCGGCGAACAAGTGGGCCCCGCAGAGCGCCTCCACCATCGCCAACACCCCTCTCTTCGATTATTATGCCCTGCGTGCTGCACACATATGTGCAGCCTGCAGTCGGACATCAGCCGACCACTAACCAACCACTATCACCACCACTACCACTGCCGACTGCTCTGACACCGACGCCACCGCGCGAGTATTTCTAACTTTGACCCCTGTACGGTCTCCTGTTTCCTTCTTCCCCGTATCTTTTTCTACAACACAGCGTTGCGACACAGCGGTGGTCGTAATTCTTAGGATACCGCTAGGGCTTTGATAACCGAGCTAAAGTATGCGTGGAACGTAGAGTTGCATGCGAAGCTAATTGTAACGTAGGAGAGAGAGAGAGAGAAAGAGAGAGAGAGAGAGAGAGAGAGAGAGAGAGAGAGAGTTTTTTAGAGGGTTTTTTTAGAGAAACATAGTACAAATATCCACAGTTATCTATTAATTCGTCAGGGTAAATTTGAAATATTTCACTCCAAAATTATTATTGCAAGAGAATCTTAAACGATAGACATATTTAGGATATGGGGAAGTAGCGCTGTGTGAGTAGACGCCGTGCTGTGTAAAAAAATGAACGGAACGTTCTAACAGAAACTATTAAGAATAGCATTACGCATATTACCTTTAATTAAGGTACTTAAGTTCAACTGCGCGTATTCACGCGCGCGTCAATGCGCACGTTAGAACAGAGGAAATGATAAAAATAAACTAAATAAATACCCCGCCATACTTAACCGTGGTGGGTCTTATTCCCACGAGTTCAAAGAGCGCTGTAATGTCCACGTTCCCACAAAAAAGGGATGTATGCACGTCGGGACATGAACAACGAGCATAATGGCGTCCATTTAGATCAACTTTGCCGGGAATGTCGGACGTCGTGATGATGATGATGGTGTCGGTGGTGGTGGTGGTGGTGGACAACACCCTGGTGCTGCGTGTTCTCTACGAATTTGCATTCCCGACACCGATTTTTCGTAGACTCGTGTCAAGCGCGCGCGATCGACAAAGTCGACAATGCGCGTCGCGTCACGTCGCGGCGATCCGCTTCGCTTCGTCGCGGAGGAAAGTCGTGCGAATTCGACCATCCATGTAAGATGTTCCGCGTTCCTGCTGCAAAAATACATACGATAAACCGGTTTATGTCGGTTCTTGTATTCTGACATAGAGATGCAAATCTTCGAGGGATTGTGCCGATGTAACGAGGGAGCTACACCGGGAACGAGGCTATCCAATTTGTCAATTTTAGGTACCGCACGTATAATGCCTCCAATCACCGGATATTTTCCACCTATAGTATTCTGACCATCCCTCTTTTTACCTTCACACACACACACACACACACACACACACATATTCTAAAGATGAGGCGGCTTCGTTAAGTTGGACGATTCCGAGATGAGAGAAGCAAGAGCACAATAATCCGCTATAATTAAAGCCATTTAACTTTTTACCGGGACTGTACCAACGCAGGAGCAAAGTTGCGGCCGGAGTGGTAATAAATTCACCAATTACTATAAATTGAAGAACTTATGTGCGCGGGAGTAAGAAGAGAAGAGAAAGGGTATCCGCTATATCGTCGCCGCGATGCCGGCGCAAGCGCTTTCTACTTCGCAATACTCGTAATATCTTCAAATATCGCCAAGCGATATTGCTGTTTAGAGAATTTTTCTTTCGATAATCGAATATCCAATGAGTTTCCATCGCACCCGGATGCAATGAAAAGGCGACGGATCGTACAGACACAACGCGATCGATTGTATCCTTCGCGACTCGTCTCGCAGCCGATCATATCCGTGAGTCGTATTAATTAAATTAATTTCTATGTTAATGAGGCGCTATAATGTAACAACGATTTCGCTTGTGCGATTCTCATCGGTCCGCATTATTACCATATAATTGAAACGCTGATTCCTTTTTTTTCTTTCTTTAACGCTCCCGCAATTTCCTCCTCGCGGAATATCTCGCATAAACTGGGACTTTTACAAGCTCGGTTACTCCGTTGAATTATTCATGCTCCTAATTGTAACTTATTGCCACGGTTGTGTTCATTGATCATTACGGTACATTACAGAAATGCGTCTTGACACTCGGCGAGATAGCGAATTCTCGTGAGAGACGGTTTCTCCCATAGAGAAATTTCTGCGTTATTTTTGCAGTGTTTGAGCATCTTTTAGCGGGTAACTTTCCACAAAATTTAATATCTCTCGAGAAAGAGTATGGATAATCGAATTCTATTAAACCATTATCCATTTTCTGCTCAAAGGTATCTTGAACCCCACTAATTATCTTCTGATTATTCGACACGTTAATGTTACTCACAAGTCTCAATTAACGACTTTCCGACTTTTACGGCAATTTCTTCCCGTCGTGCTTTCTCGTACTTTACTCGTGACACAAGCAACTCCACCGACGAACGATTAAGACTTAGTTTAGCTGATAAAATCGTGAGTCATAGGAGCGAGTTGAGGCGCGTGATTCATATGCGAGGAACGTTCAGGCGGTTTTTATTCCGCATTTTGGAGTGAACCGAGCGATGCTGCGATGACAATTATAAAAGCCGACTTTTGACGGTTTTACGAAATCGGTCCGAACGACAAGAGGCGATACCAGCGAGCATTCTAACGAATCATGGCAAACAAATTTATTCTAAACACGCGCACCAATCGCCGTTAATCAACTCGATGCTCGGGAGGGTTTGTAGACTTTATGACATACCGAGGAGCAGTTTTCTTTAAAGAGATAATTGCATGCGAAGCAGGCCGTTTTCAAGGCTATTTTTACGAATTTTTTTAACAGAAACAGTAGAATCAATGAACTTGAAATTTTCACAGTGTATTCATTGATGTTCAAAGTATAAAGTAAATTTGTTACTATCTATATGGAAAGTATACATAAAACTTTAAACAGGTTTATCTGGAAACACTATTTTCTTAAACTGTGGACACAATTACGCAAAAACTACCGAACCGAATAACTTGGAATTTTTACACAATATATAGTAAACATGTAGTTTTCGCCCCTAACGCCTCGAACACAGTTATATTTTATTTTATTTATTTTTTTAAACATGATTATAAGTTGAAAAAAGTTTCAGTTTTGATACTTTTTTTGTACAATCGTTATTTTTCCAAACTTGGCTTTACTGCTTTCATTTTGATACGGGCTACAATGGCAATTGTATATTTTAAAAATCTTTTTCATTTTTTATTTTCAGAACAGTGAGAGGCCCGGAATTATGTCGACAGCAAACACAGAGCTTGCGAACGGATGACTGCATTTTTATCTATAATTACAAATTGGATCGGTTCTTGTGATTTAATAAAATTTATGTTATATTTTGAACATTAATAAATACACTGTGAAAATTTCAAGTCCATTGGTACCTTACCGTTTGCGTTAAAAAAGATTCGTAAAAATAACCTTGAAAACGGCTTTTCGCATGTAATTTCCCCCTTAAACGAGCTTAAACGAGCATACAGACGATGCAAACTAAGTCACGATAATGGACTTAGGAGCGATCAAAATGAACAAAAATCCCCAAAAATCCATAAATAAACACTCCAAAATTTAGTTGTATCCCACCAAAAACTTTGCATGAAAAATCAGCGTTCTTGATTTCTGCTATTGCTCAGTTTCCTTCGCGTCAAATACGAGTGTCAATCGAGTTAAGGAAATGAGATTAGAAAAATCTAATCTGAAAGCTTCGTTCATGGTGTTATTTGACATAAAGTGTGATATGTATAAATCTTTTAAAGAATTTACTAACTTCATTGTATTCGTCGCAAGCAGAAACCGTGAATGAAATATGTAGCTTTCTATACAGTGCGTGCAATTAGAATCCATCACTATGGTGATTTTGGTATCTAATCTCGTCACAGGTCACAGGTAAAAACATCTCTGATAAACACATAGCGCGCACGAGCCAACCGCTAATTGCGCAACACGTCCGTTCACGCGACATTCCTCCACACAAGGGCGTGCATAGATTAAAATCCATGGTTGGAAGCTATGATAGGAAAGGAAGCTAGGTCCCTCATGTGCAATTTTCATTCTTTCCTACAACAGGAGAGAAAGTAACAGAAACTTGATATATACCGGAAAATTGAGTTCTTTCGTCAATCATTATCACAGGTGAATAAAAATACAAGAGAGAGAGATTCGTACGAATTTCTAGCGTTTCAGACTCGGGCGAGTAAACCTCGAAAGAAATCTGCAGGAAATCAGAAGACACTAGCACAAAGAATCGATCGTTCTTCCAAAATCGTTCAAAAGCTTTGCACCAAATGACAAGAGTGCCAATTCAAATACGTACGTAAATGTACGAACGCCACAACTTTGCTTTAAATACAGGCGTTTAATTTACCTCTCATCTGTAGCCTTGTTCTTCCGCGATCTCACGCACATCCGCTCGATCATGCCGGCGCGGCATTTCGCAACGATATCGCCGCGTCGTTGGATATGGACGCGTGGCGTGGGCGGCCTATTGCCGCCCCATTGCGACGACACGCGTGCACGCGACGGCATCATTACTACTACACGGCTCGGTAAGGTCCGGCCACTGCCCTTTGCGACGTTATAACCACCGCGCGGTCGGTCAGTGCGCGAGTCAGACCCGCCGACGGGCTTGTACGCGTTACTTCGCACAATTGTTTTGACGGTGTGTCTCACGCGACGTTACTCGCGTGGACGATCCTGATCTCGGCCCTTCCTGGCCGGACCGTGTCACGATCATCCATGAATGAGCCACAGTCGGCGCTGATCGACGTATCGATAACACGTCATTTTTCCTCGTGACGCTGGGAGATTACCCGATTCGTCAGCCCGATTAGTAATACAGACGCGTTGGAAGCGTAAACGATATGTAAGTCCTGTTTCCTATGAAATTATACTCGTATATACTTCGTACGCGTGTCCTCTTATCCTTTAGACTCTGCCGGCAAAAGTGTGATGCAAATGAGAACTGTCCTCGATAAAACCGCGTCTCCTCATTTCGCCAGCTATGCTGGCATGATCGTGACGACGCGTTTGAAGAGAGAGCCTTGCTCACCCGTATCGATCGTATCGAAAATCGAAATTTCGAAAGTTCAACGTCACAGCAAACGTTTCGAAGAGGTACGTTTCGAAGAGAATCGAGCATGTACGGTGGTGAAATTATATTCGGGCTTCGGTATTTCGATGTCGTTGCCGCAAATGCGCGCGCGCGCGCGCGCTGACGTCTTTCGCTTTCAAACTTTATTTCTTGACCCCACGCTCGCGCATCGTTCTTCCAGAGAACGTCGTAACCTTTTCTATTACCGACGAGGAGCGCGCGCGCGCGCGATAGACCATAGACCACCCTGAAGTGTGCGCACGAAGTGCTCGTCGCTCGTGTTCGAACTTCGAAGTGCCAGTGACGGGCGGTGACGGGTGTTGGCCGTGCGAAGAAACGCTGCGGCGTGCAGGCGTGCGGTGCGGCGCGAGCGCGAGGTGTTTCGTAACGAGAAACTTGAAACACGCAGGAACGAACACGTGCGCGCGTTCTCTTCTTCACGCGTCGACGGCGACGCGTCTCTCGGCCGGAGAGCGCGAATTATCGTCGCGCGCGTGAGTATGCGTGACAGAATATACTACCACAGTCACAGCGCGTGTGACACTCGGGCAGTATTTTTACGAGGAGGAGCATCTGTTCGTGCAGGACTCCTCGTCGATAACACCGGTGATATCGGTTTGCTCTTCGTTCGTCGCGGAAAGTCCGTCTCGCGCGAATCAACGAGTACTTTCGCTTTCGCTCGCTCCTCGTCACACCATTCCCCTGGATTTGCAGTGTGTCGCGTAGTATACGCACGATTTCTCAGCCACACCTGCGAGAGGGAGAGCCGCTCTCGTGTGTTGTCGTCGCTCTCGGCGCTCTCGGCAGCCGCCACGCGCGAACATGGCCGCGCGCGGACAGCACGCGATCGCGGAAAGCGTTGTCATTTGCAGCCTGTGCTTGTTGATTGCTCGCTCGACGTTCGCCCAACAGCCGATCTCGGCAGGCAGTCGATATTACAACCGCGATGGTGTGTACGTACCGCAGGATGCATACGGTTATAAAACGATTTTTTACAAGGACAGGAGGTACGGCTTGCTGGATCCTCTTGACAGAGGACCCACAAGGGCACCCGAGGATCGTTACCTGTACGAAGTAAGTGAGGGAATTGCGATCAAAGTGGCATAAATTTGATTGGAATTGAAAAATATCGCGTTCGCTATTATTTATTGTAATATCACTGATTTATCAAATATTTATTGTTAATTGAAGTCGAAAGCTGATTAAAGTAAATGTTAAATTACATTGAAGCACTCGACACCAAGGATTCCATTGCCAGGAATATTGGCTGGCTGGCGTAAAGATCTTCAAGGGAAAGAAAGACCAGACTCTAAAACTTTCAGAGATAGAGACGTAATTGTGAATACAAATTATGGACAAGTGCAAGGGTTTAAAGTCCAGTTGTATGACAATCCGTACTCATTGCATAGGCCATGGAACCCGTCGGTAGATAGAGTTACAAAAGATGTCATTGTATTTTTGGGGATCCCTTATGCTCTCCCACCTGTAAAGGAAGGCCGCTTTAAACCTCCCAGACCTAATAGAGGATGGCAACTTATACAAGCTATAGATTGGGGCCCAGCTTGTCCACAGCCAAGTGAATATACTGGCAAAACTAAAGGCGTAGAGATCGTTGATGAAGACTGTTTGTATTTAAATATATTTACACCCAGTACTGATGCTGGGGTAGCATCTAAATATGCAGTAATGTTTTATATACATGGTGGTGAATTTACTTATGGAGCTAGCAATTTGTTTCCTGCTCACATACTAGCTGCCTTCTATAATGTTGTGGTAGTATCAATAAATTATCGTCTTGGAGCTCTTGGTGAGTACATGAATAAAAAAAGAAACATATACATATTATAGCCAAAGTCTGAAATTGGTTATTGGTTTCTACTCTAGTCAATCTTGTTGGTTATGTTGCAAAATCTTAATAAGAAAAACATGATTTCTCTCTCCTAATCTGAGTAGCTAGATTTCACAAACTATATTTTTGCTGTGTATTTAAATATATTTCATGATTTATTTGTTTTGAAATATATATCTTAATTTATTTGATCAGTTAAAGCTAGTTCTAAAATTGAACGTTATACTAATTGTCTGTACTTTGCATTTTTGCCACAACATATGCATTCTTATAGAGAGAAGAACATTTTTTAGATTTTATACATTATCAGTAAGATAAGCTTTTCCTCTCATGTTTATAGGATTTCTAAGTACTGGAGATGAAAATAGCCCTGGCAATTATGGAATCCTTGATCAAGCCATGGCACTGCGATGGGTATACGATAACATTGCATTTTTTAATGGAAATCCTGAGTCTATAACTCTTTTTGGTCCTGGTGCGGGAGCAGCTAGTGCAGGATTGTTAATGGTGGTACCTAGAACACGGGAGTTGGTGTCGAAAGTAATAGCGCAGTCAGGCTCGGCTTTAGCCGATTGGGCGGTGATCATGGACAAATATCGAGCACAAAACACATCTCGGGTATATGCACAAATGGTCGGTTGCAGTATAGAGAGCAGCTGGAAATTGGTACAATGCCTCAAAGACGGACGTAATCCCTTCGAATTAAGCAACCCCAGATTCCAGCCACACGTTGGAATGTTCCCATGGGCGCCTGTGTTAGATATCAATTTTACGATACCTCAAGACCATTGGTACGACGGATGGAGGGCGTCCGACTGGCGCTTCTTTGCCGAAACACCGGAGGAAAGTATTAAAGCTGGAAGATATAGAAAAGATTTGGCATACATGACTGGCGTTACGACTCAAGAAGCTGCATACATTATAAGTACGTTATTGATTATTTCGTTTATTTCTATTTTACTGTCCATTATTTTATTTGGAATCTTATCTTACTAATTTAATTCACACTGTGTAGGAAATAATGAAACCTTAAGAAATAATCGATACGTGATCGATTCTGAATTATTTGACCAAAAGGTACGGGAACTAGTTCTTCAGTATAACTACACCTTGAATCCACAAGGCGTTTATGAAGCGATAAAGTATATGTATACATATTGGCCGGATCCTATGAATGTTACGCACATACGTGATCAGTATATAAATGTAAGTAACGAGGATAATCCACGTTATTATTTTGCTTACAATATGATATTATATTGCTTGAGTATTCACTGTTGTTGATACTTTCAGCTCTTATCGGATTTCCACTATGTTGCACCAAACGATAAAATGGTGAAACTATTAGTGGAGAAGTATGTACCAACGTATCTGTACGTTCTAAATACGTCGATAGAATCGTTCAATTTGCCACAGTGGGCTAAGGTGCCTCACGATACAGAACATTTGTGGTTAACAGGGGCGCCCTTTATGGATCCTGGTATGTTTCTTGCTTATGATTCTAAAATTGCAACATTTATTAATCGATCGTTGTCGATTTAGAATTCTTCCCGGAAAGATTAAAGCTAAATCGAGATATGTGGACTGATAGCGATCGTAATATGAGTCACTTCTTCATGAAGGCGTACTCTAATTTTGCAACATATGGGTATGTAGTTAATAATTCATTCACATAATAATGTAAGAACCTCGAAATAACTTTTGAATTGATCTGTCGCAGGAACCCAACACCTTCGCAGATATTGGGATTGCACTTTGACGTTACTCGATATGGGCAATTACGATATCTCAATATCAATACAACGCTCAATAGTTCCATTGAAATTAATTATCGTCAAACAGAAAGCGCGTTCTGGTCCATGTACTTGCCGACTGTTATTGGTTATCTTGTTCCCACGTATCCTCCTGTTACTGAGGTAAAACATTAGAAGATTGGACATATTGTTTAGCGTTTTATTGAAATTATGTTATAATTACACTTATTATCTGCGATTGTCATTGCAGTACTGGTGGGAACCTAAGCAGCCACTTCAAATCGCATTCTGGTCAATGTCGACGGCATGTTTGCTACTACTCGTGCTTTCTGTGGTATGCTGCATGCTTTGGCGTAACGCCAAAAGGTAAGAAAAGGTAAACAGAACCAAATCCATGTCACTACGACTTCAATCGGCGGCACTGGCTGATCCGAACGGTAGTGCATGCCGAAGATGGTTCTGGTTTATGGATATGATACTTGCGCGAGAACCGTGATATTACGACAACAATGTTGGGATACTGCGTGGTTTTTTATCTTACTGTCTCTTAATAATCTCTGTATAAATCTCTAATTCTTAATCTCTAATCTCTAACTCTATTCCTGCTTACAATTAGTAAAACGAAGGCAGCCAGGATGCATGCAGGTACTTCTAAAGAAAATTCTATGCACATTTTCACATTTCAATATATCTATCACAAGTATGCTTTATTAATTGCACATGTATATATATTAATTATAATTATTAATATAATTGGTAGGATATAAATAAACGTAGAAGTACAAGTTAGATATAAAATAGAGGTAAAGAAGTATCAAATAATAATTATAATGTATTTAAATTAATTTATTCTTACACAGACAATCTGATCACTACTATAGCGGGGACATCCTGATGGTACGAGACGATGAACATTCCGAGGGAATCGAGAATTTAACACGTGCATCTAAAGAAAATATATACGAATATCGCGACGTACCGATAAAAACTAGAGTACCACGTCAAAACGAAGCCAAATTACAAGAACGTTTAGCACAAAACAGAAAGTTCAGTTCTACGCCTTCGTTACGAAGTAATTCCAACGTCTCATTAAAAGATATGAGATCGGAAGGCTTTGTTACGAGCTCGCCTAATGGTCAGCCCAAACTGACAAAAGCAATGAGTCAATCTGCACTGCCGAAAGCTAAAAGTAGGACTTTGTTAGTGCAGGGAATACCACAAACAGCAGTTTAATACACAAGTTACCAGTATTTTGAAATCGACATCATTTTATTTATTTGTTATATCTAGGTTTTTAAATATTTTATAAAAAGGGAAAGTCGCATAATTTTTTCTATCAAAATAACGCCATATATGTTAAATTAGAATTATAATCATAATGGTATAAATATAATTATAATCAAAAGTTATTAGCTATATTTGTAGGTATAATGTGACAATAATGTAATTTGCATTTAAGATTATGTTACTAATTGAATTTTAAATCTTCATAATTCTTATCATAAAGTAATAGCTTTTATCAGTTATGCGACTAACGACACCTAAGGTGGCTATTTTATATCCGTCCATAAGAATAGACTAATTGTTTATATATAAAGAAAAATAATTTTATATATTATGTAAATATCACATTTTATATTGCTATCATAACAGTTTTTGCAAAATGTCAGTTATAAATTTTACGAGTAGCTTGTCAGATGAGCAAATATATAATGGTAGCTACCAATAAAGTATGACTGCAAAAACTAAGTAGAATTAGCATTTAAATGAGATATACAAAAGACACCGCTCAGTTATAAACTTATTATTAAATAATATCAACACACACACATACAGAGAGAGAGAGGCTGTATCGCTAGAACACAGCTTAATACCCAATTGGATGCTAGTTTGACATTCCTATTGCGATTTTATTACGATATAAGCAAATCTGCTGTTAAACTGCCAACTTTGCATATTTTTATATATATTGTTTAATTATTAATTGCATAAGCAGGTTTCGAGTGCAACATATCCTTGTTCAATATGTAATTTAGTATATACTAAGTGCTTCGTTCAATATATAAATGGAAGTGCCTTATCATATAATACAAGTATGCAATACAAAATAGATTAAGTGCACAAATTGAATATATGTGTTATAGTTATATGTATTTTTAATATTTTTACACATTGAATATAGCTTTAGTATTAATGATCTCATTTCCACTGAAGTTACGATGTAAATGTAAGTCTGACATTCCTGAGATTAAATGTTACACATTTACAATAATTTTGGACAAATGCATTTACAAATTATGTAAACATTATTTCTGTACTTAATGGGATAGAACAGTAAATGATTTGTTATAAGCACTTTAAATATTGGACAATATTTGAAATAAAAAACAAGTAATAATATAATTTCCTTACAAATGTAAAATTATATTTTTTTGCACAGATGGCTGTTATTATTTACCTAGCTCAATATAATATCGACTTACAAAGAAGAATAAAGAATTTAATTAAATCTAATTTGAAAAACACGCCAATATGACATTTGATGAGAGGTAGTAGAAAGAGGTTTGTTCTTGTCCGAAAAACTTCTGAATTAGTGCAATAAGTTGGAGTGAAATAGGGTGAATTATGAAGAATACGGGCCTCCTTACCAATTTCGCTGAAACTTTGCACAATTGTGTATTTTGGTGCATAAAACGTGATTTTGCAAAGAAAAAAGTGTCGCTTTCAAACGGATCAAAAGTTATAAAAATCTGAAAAATAACGCATGAGGTTAGGAAATCTGTTATGTCGATAATACAGGCTGTGTTCCGATTCTGGTTCTGGTTCAATAAATGGCTCTGGACCAGTGCTGGGAGATCCAGAGAATTTCCGGGCGTGCGTATTGAGCAAACGCTGTGGGAGCCTCAGTATCGTATTAATTTAAAGGTATCTTTATCGCCCGTAAGATACTGGATTGAAAATTGCAATCGCATAAATCAGGTAATCTAAATCTTGGTTATTTAAGTTGGTCCAGCTGTAATTTTCAATCTATAGTCTAATACGGGCGTAAGATCCCTCGTTTGAAAGAAAATATGAAGAAATTGTAGGGAGAACAGAAAGGTCTGTGAAAGAAACAGAATACTATTCATAATTAATAATAAACATATAATTTTATTTTTTAATAATTACAGAAAAATAATATATGAATACCAACATTTGTTGTAATAGCAAGGGAAACTGCAGAAAAACCTTACTAATATTCTTACAATAAAATTGTACAAAACAAATAAACGTTAAAAAGAATACTTATGTAAATGTTGAACACAATACTTAGTACTATCATTAATGATATGTAAATGTTTAATATCACACACTTTCACTGTTATTGAACGTACCTGATGCCATGTCAACCAATCTTTAAAAATATTCATACCTAACCACGCTGTTCTAAATTTTTGTGCTCCAATTTTCCTCTTCTCGATGCCACTGGTTGAAGGTTGGTCATCCATTTTCACAGCACTTAATATTTTATTTAACAAAAAATGGACACTATGATTGCATTATGATATCACTGATTACACTATCAATATTCTTACACACTACATATAAACACTAAGTACCACTTACATTACATTAATTAATGATATTAAGAAATTATAATGTTGATGTGACATAACATAAATATAACATATTTAATGTTTACTGGGTAACCTAACCCTAAACCACACACTCACGGAAGAAACGCGGGAAAACAACTACGGAAGATACAGATATTTTGCACGGGCCCCTCCATGGATCCTCTGTCATGCGTTTTAAACCGTCAGTGGTTTTTGACATACAGGGTGTTATAAAAGTCCCGGAAGAGCAGAATAACTCGAAAAATATGAGTCCTAGAAAAAATGCGAAGTACTAGGTTTTTATGGTTTTTTCCTGGCTATCTGATGGTGACCTTGGATTTGACCTTGACAATGACCTTGAAAGTCATTTCAAGGTCAGGTCAATTTTTTTAAATGGGACCCCATACTTTTGATCCCAGAAATGAAAAAAGCGGAAAATTTTACGTTCAGATATGACCTTGAACACTGCCAAATTTGATCTCTGAGGTCACATAAAGGTTTAAGCTTATTTTAAGCTGAAATCGCGAATATCTTCGAAAACGCACCTGTTAGGGAGCAATGTTACGCATAAGAATAAGAATGTAAAGGTCAACGAGGGAGGGTAGAGCCGTGACCTTGCCTTTATTCTCAAGGTCATGAGTTAAGATTATTATTAAGGTCAAACCGAACTTATTTAGGAGTGAAAATCCATACTTTTGACCTAAAAGTGTCAAGATTGAAAAATTTTACGTTATTTTCGGATATGACGTTTTCAACCTTGACCTGCCAAACACACTGTCAAACGGTCAATAGGGAACATTTTGAATATCTCTTGTAATCTCAGGCCGAGTTACAATATGCTTTGCCTTCGGTGGCCGGGACTAACTGAACCTTGCCTTCAGTGGTCGGGTTTGAAACACCTTGCCTTCAGTGGTCGGATTTGAGACACCTTGCCTTCAGTGGTCGGGTTTGAGACACCTTGCCTTAAGTAGCCGGGTTTGAGACACCTTGCCTTCTGTGATCGGGTTTGAGACACCTTGCCTTCAGTGGTCGGGTTCCGAGACGCTTTACTTTCAATAGACTTCACGACCAGTGAAGTAACGTAAAACGCATAATTTTGAGAACAAGGTCAAGATTGAAAACGTCATATCCGAATGTAAAATTTTCCAATCTTGACACTTTTAGGTCAAAAGTATGGATTTTCAGTCCTAAAAAAGTCCGGTTTGACCTTAATAATAATCTTAACTCATGACCTTGAGAATAAGGGCAAGGTCACGGCTGAATGTCTCTCGTTGACCTCTACGTTTTTATTCTTATGCGTAACATTGCTCTCTAGCAGATGCATTTTCGAAGATATTCGCGTTTTTGCCTAAAACAAGCTTAGACCTTTATGTGACCTTCAGAGGTCAAATTTAGCAGTGTTCAAGGTCATATCCGAACGTAAAATTTTCCGCTCTTTTCATTTCTGGGGTCAAAAGTATGGGGTCCCATTTAAAAAAATTGACCTGACCTTGAAATGTCATTGTCAAGGTCAAATCCAAGGTCACCGTCAGATAGCCAGGAAAGAATCATAAAAACCCAGTACTTCGCATTTTTTCAAGGACTCATATTTTTCGAGTTATTCTGCTCTTCCGGGACTTTTATAACACCCTGTAGCTTATGTCACTTCAGGCATGCGCTGTAGCGTGGGAAATTCTTTGGATCTCCCAGCACTGTGCTCTGGACAGAGCTGTTATACTCTATCCTCTACGCCAGTCAACGATTATGAAGGTAAAAGAAAAAACAGGGACAACGCATACTACGCATCTCCACGATAAAAAAATATGCATAATTAAAGGAACCACATCCAACCACCACGGAAGCGAACAAAAGACTCTGTGTTCCGATATTCATTCTAGAAACCTAAAAGCGGCCACCGCCCATCGGGCCCATTACGCTGGGACGCTTTTTCCGTCGAATTTCGTTGCATCCCCTGAGAAAATATGTGCACACTACATCCGTTCTAACGGTAACAGTAAAGCGTGCACGGTTTTTGCTCACTCTACTTTCTTAAGGGGATCCTGGAGCCGTCTGTTTTACCGACTTATTGATTTCAATCTTTTCAAACATTAATCTTTTTATTAGCTGTACAGATTGAAAAATCCTTTTGCACAATGAAAGTACTTATAATAACGAAGTCTGGAAAGCAGAATTTTATGTAAAATTCAATGAAAAATTAAAAAATTACAATTTCGCTATCATGGTCTGCGTCAGCTCGTATATTTATTTATTTATTTATTTACTATTTATACTTTATAACTTTTTATTTATAATTTTATTTATTATTTATAACAGTTCTGCAGTTTATCCATGCAAAAGCTTTTGCTTCCATACTAGCCATAATATGAAAGAATAATACTAAAGTAATAGAAATGAGCTTAGAAATCAGTGTAAAAAGAATAGTATTTGAGAAAAAATGTCTTGGATGTGTGTGTGTGTGTGTGCGGAATGTGTTGCTACACTTTGGGGTAAAACAGAACAATAAATTAGTTCCGCATAATCGTGATCGATGGAGCTGCAGGCAGACACAATTGTACTATCCTTGTCTGTTTCATGCGTAGACACAGATGTCTATACTATACTAGATTGCTAACTTCTCAAAAGAGCTGTGTCCCGCCTATTTTCCGGTTCGGCCATGAAGACCGCCAAGACATGGCGGCGGTGTGTGTTTGTAGTGTGTATGTGAATACCCGATGCGTATGTAAGTAGTGCGTGGTAGTGCATATGTGACACCTGATGTGTCTACTACTATTTATGTTAGTAAAACTGCAAATCTACAAACGAGATAATGCCGAATAAGTATTGTAAATTTCAAAAATATGAACAAGAAAGAATATCATTTAAAGATGTGTGTATTAATAAGGTGTTGCTAATCTAAGTGTTTGGTAAAGGTTAAAATTAAATTGAATATATATAGTTCAAAATATGTCAAAGTATTTGTATTAATATTTTTTACATACATATAAAGAATAAAATGTAGGAACAGTGTCACAAGCAGGAGCTCTCAGAGCTATTGATGGCACAGCCAAATTTTTTAATAGAACACTACTTATATTTGCTTTTTCCATGATATCTGTAGGTAAAAAGTGAGCACTACAGATTACATGGTGTTTTTTTGGTGTAAAATTTCCTCCGATTGCACAAATCCATTTTTTTTAAATCTCTGGACGTTTTATCGGAAATCTGAAATATTAACAATGTTTAATTGCAAGATAACCCTCACATATTACAAACCTCGAACATTTATTATATATAAATGTATTCTACTTACTTAAATAAGTGATATCCTTTTTTATTCGTATTATTGCAATTAACAATGCAACATGTACTTGGCATTATCTCGTTTATATATTTGCAGTTTTACTAATATAAATAGCAGTAGATACGACACATCAGTGTAGACACATCAGGTATCACATACTTACAGTACAGTACTACTACACACGCATCGGATACTCACGTACGCACTATAAACACACACCGCCGCCATGTTTTGGCGGTCTTCATAGCCGAACCGGAAAATAGGCGGGACACAGCTCTTGTATAGGTCAAAAATCGAAGTTAGCAATCTAGTATAGTATAGACATCTGTGTGCGTAGAATAATATTATGGGCCAGAATACAGACTTTTGCATAGCGCATAATACACAACGCATAAGAGAATCAACCAATCAGAGTTCTTCATTTCCCTCCTCAGGATAGAAATGAAGAACTCTGATTGGTTGATTCTCTTATGCGTTGTGTATTATGTGTTATGCAGAAATCTGTGCTCTGGCCCTATAACAATGAAACTGTAGTTGTTAATTTTTTTTTCGAATTTTACATAAAACTCTGCTTTCCAGACTTCGTTATTATAAGTACTTTCCAGACTTCATTGTTATAAGTACTTTCATTGTGCAAAGGAATTTTTCAATCTATACAGCTAATAAAAAGATTAGTGATTGAAACTCTCTCATATTTGTTCCCTCGATCGCACGTTTATTAGGCTGCATTCACAATCAGTCGGCAAATGTTGTCGTATGTCGCACATATGTCGTACGTACCAATCGCAACCTCACAACTGAGAACCGACATATAAAAATTAAGTTTGCGCGCATGTGTACGACACATATAATATATTGTATAATATATTTTATAATATATCACATATTTATATACATATACAATATATATATATATTAATTAATTAACTAATTAGCGGACCCTATATATAGGGTCCGCTAATTAGCTGCCAACCCGAAGTGAAGATAAATTAGGTTAAGACAAACATAAAAGTCCCATACCGTTTTGCGAGATTCGCAATTTATTAATGACATAAATATGAGGAGTGGAAGCGCGTCGACATATCATCCCAGATAACACAAATATATTCTATAAATATTATATAAATATTTTTTAAGAACATTAGAATATTCGCACAATATAAGATGCAATAGATCGCACCGATAAGATGAAAGCATTTTATGCATATATATAGAATTTTAAAATGAGACTAGTTTTAATATTTTATATAGGTGAAGAGAACATGCAGTAATATATTCAAATAATATCCAAAGAAGATTATTGATACTATGTCAAAAATGTTCATAGAATGTTCATAGAATATTTGAAAGACAAATTATCTAAATTGTACAGTCGTTTGCAAAACAATATTGCCATTTATTTTTGGTGCAATTTTAAATCATAGCCAATGGTCCAACGAGAGAATTTATTTTATCGAAAGTTCCATATCCAAATTGGTTTTTTTATTACACCAAGGCACACTAAATGCATATATTCTAAAGGAAAATTGCTAATCATATCAACCAAAGGTATTCTTTCTAAAATTGAATTACCTATGTGATGTTCTAGTTGGACTCTGTTACGAAAATTTTCATCCGTTCTTTTAACACAATTAATTTTAGGGTAACATACTCTTCCTTTTATATATTTTCCTTTTTACGTACATTTTGTACATGAAAAAAATCCGGTATGGTCTTTACAATAAGTAATAAGTGATTTTGCTGGAGCATCACAAATTAATGCTTTAATTGCAAGTGGTATCATATGGTTTTTATAAATAAAACCTTCTTCTGATAATTTTATAACTTCTACTGTAAAGTCTTCTAAGAAATTATTTACGTTACTAGGCTTTTCATAACCATGATATACACCTATCACTCCTATATATTGAGGATATTCATGCATCGAGCATAATATGGGATATATTTGAATGTCAGAACTTTTGCTAAGAGGTAAACCATGAATGTTAACTAATAAATTTAATTTTTGTGGTTGTTCCTCTAACAAATTGATAAGCTTTTCAACTGCAAATTGAACTCCAATGTGTGAATAAGTGCCTGAACCTACAGGTTTGCTGAATATGTGTCGAGGAGTATGGAGCAAAGTTCTGGGATCCTGAGGCACACGATATTAGCATACAAATATTAGCTTTTGATTTTAATAATTGTAGTAAATCTCGTAAAGCTGAATGTGAAATGTTATGTGATATTGCCCATAATCGTAATTTATTGATAAAATTATTTTCATTGTCTTTTACTACATTTGGTCTCAGATCTATTGAAGCATTGCATTCTGTAATATCATCAAAATTATCCAAGAAATTTGAAGTATTAGAACAGTCTGTTTTACTATTATTACATTGCAATTCTATATTTTCCATTATTGTTGTATTGGGTTCTGAAATATTGTTATTAGTATTACATCTTGATACATTATCAGAATCACTTGAATAATTTTGTGATAAATCTAAACATGTTGCGGTTCCTCTCTTTATTTTTCTATATAATGTTGCTTTAGAGAATCTACGCTTCATATTAATAATAATCTTAAAAGTAATATTGTTTAACCTTTAAAAATGATTGTGCAGTGTGTGTATGTGTGGTGGTAGCGCCTTGGTTATTTTTCATACAATATGATGCACAAATCATGTTTTTATTATTCTACAAAAAAATACAAGTATTTTTTTATTGCAGGAAAACAAAGAAAATGCACAAGATATAAATATAACATCAGACTAACTTTAGTCACAGCAGGCCGTCAAATGTTGTTTATTATACCGTTCCTTGTACTACGCTTTCTATTGGTCTGTTCTTTTCAGCTGCACTGCTACACGCACCAGTGTAACAGTGCAGCTGAGAAAGACAGACCAAGAGTGGTGTGCTCGTTTGAATTCGTTGCTCTGACTAGTTTTGTTACATTCAGTGAACATTTATGGAATATTAATATAATATTTCTACCGACGATTTTTATGATATTTTAAGTAGATTTATAGACTATTCTACAAAATAAAAATATTCTATTAACATTTATACATGATTTCGTTGAGAATATTCTTGTAACAGTATATTGGATGTAGTATTGAATATTTATAGAATATTGTGTGTTATCTGGGATAGATGATTGGAAAAGCGTTGCAGTTACTTAGACTACAGCGCGGCCCAGTCGATTCAGAAACTGATGCCGGTGCGCGGCGAGGGGAAGAAGAACGCGCCGCTATTCATTGTTTTATCTCGCCGCACTTACGTCTCGTAAGTCCAGATAACTTTTGTCTCACATTTGTCTACATTTTTCCATATCTTCCATATTCTTCGAGATATTTGACTGACAAAAATAAAATGGGACACCTTGTACATACATGTATATGTATGTACGTATATATGTGTGTATATATATATATATATATATATGTACATTACATCCAAATGTCATTACGTATGTAGAGTGTCTTGTCAAATAAAAATTTGTTTTGTTCCTTATTCATGTTCGACGTATTCTAGTACATTAAGTCTTAATATATATTCTGTTTAATGAAGTATAATATAATGTATTATATTAAATATTTAGATTCTAAAACATTATTTTCAGAAAATTTGATCGGATTTTGCATAAATGTTGTTGTTAATATATATTATATAATTGATTTCGATCTCGATAATTTATCATATCATGAGCATGCAGCCCACTTATAGCGTAATTATCTCACAGCTCTCGAATGAATCGATATAATTTTTATCGTACAATCTTGTTCACGCTTTGTTTTGCAGGTTTTTTATTTAACAAAAGCTTATAGTAAGTTAGTGACTCATCTTGTCATGTTTTCAATCTTATAAGAAGGATGCTTTATGTGCCGATTTCGCTGTTTAGTAGGAAATTTCTTCCAATTGTTTGACGCTGTTGAGGACTTCACCCGTAGCCCTGGTTAAGGGAACTGTGTTATTCCTAGAGATGTGCGAACTATTCGAATTCGAATCGAATCGAATCGAATCTAATGTAATTCGATTCGATTCGAATCCGAATAATTCGAAAATTTCGAATCGAAGATTCAATTACGTATAAAATATATTAACGTACATTATATTTACATGCATCAGGTACAAAACGAGCCATCTGGGCCTGTATGTTTGAACTCTTAACTTGTAATTAACTCAACTTATAATTAATAACTTAACTATATATTACTTTAAATATTTAAATATTTTACTGTAAGATGATATTACAATATCAATATCCCCTTTCATATTAAAATCTTCCATCATTATGTGCATGTTTAATAGTCATGTTAAATTTTTTAATGATTCGATTCGAATTCGAATGTAATTTCATAGATTCGATTCGATTCGAATTCGAATTAAAAAAATGAGATTCGATTCGCTTCGATTCGACATAAAAATTCTTGATTCGCACATCTCTAGTTATTCCCCACAGTACTGGGACCTCCCAGTCCTGTGGGGGATAGAACTTTGACACTTTAAATAGTGTCGTGCCCCACGTCATACATGTGTCTACCGAGAATTACCTGAGTAGGCTCAGAGAAAATAACTCTGTTATCCCACAGGTCGGGTTAATGGCCTTGTATGAGTCCAGGGCCAAAGCTAAAAGAATTTACAAGTTCCACTTTTCCAAGTAGAAGTTCCATTTTCCGCAAAATTTTGCTTTTATCTTCATAATACACGATATTAACATATCCATAATTGATCCGTACTTTCTTCACTATTTCTGCGTAATCGAAACCGCACTTGTCCCAATCTGTTCGTCACTTACCGCGAATCGCATGGACACCCGTTAGACGATTAATGAGCATGAGTCACGTCTCTGCGGTTACGAAAGGGAAGTAGGGGCATGATTCTAGACAATAAAGCTGTTTAATGATGATACAGTGCGCGTTCCGAGACATGCGGCAGCGTTAAAAGCTCGCACGCGTATTCAAGGACGCGGGTAAACCCGGGTCGGAATTTTGGCCCCACTTTCGTCGTGAACTGTCTAACATCTATAGATTCTGGAAGATCAATGGAATTTTAATTTATATCAATGAAATTTAATTTTTTACGTAGAATTTTTAGTCTCACTCAGCGTTCCTAAATGACGGAAAACGTACAATTTGAGTAAGTTCTTGAGATGACCTCTCGGCAAGATGTTGTAAAGTAAAATAGAATCAAAATGGAATTCTGTGATATAGGCTTTAAAGTATTGAATTAGCGTTAAATGTAAAATTGAATTTGAAGGTGAGATTAAAATTGCGACTCAGAAAGGCACGTATGCCGACTCTGCATTCCAAAGTTTCTCTTTCAGTAACAATTGCTGCTCGAATAGCTGAACGGTATTTCTTGTAGGGTATATATCCCTAAAGAAATGGAACAAACAAACTAGATAGTGCGATGGTCATAAAATTCGTTCCGGATGATCCCAGCAGATAAGGAAAAGAGCCACCGTAAAAAAGGGCCACTAGGTCAGAAAGGGCAGATTCTACGGTAGACATAGGTAATTCCCCTTCCATCTTCAATCATTGGCCAATAGTTTCTGACCTTTTACCTCCAAGAAGGTTTGACTGTTTCTCGTTAAATCATCGTCCCTGCACACTTGCTGCACATCTCTCACGTCGTGAACATCTCTTGAGTAAGGAAGCAGTCGCAAGAAAACGTTAAGATCGGCGATCGGCCTTGTTGGGTGTGCGTAATAAGGACTTTGCATTCGGAAATTCGACAGAACGACAGAGCGTCGTCATTCCTGTATTCTCCTCGTTAGAGCAAAATGGCAGAGCAAAAAGGTGAGTTGAGTTTACAGAATTAAATCTCTGGATCGAAATTTCGCGAGAGCACGTGGAACTCGAGCGAGATACATACGTCTTTCTTTTGCCGCGCGTACACCGCTTCGGGCGCGTTTTTGCCTCCTTGCTTCTTCGAGGGACGAAAACCTCTGTATCGCGAAGAGAGATAGATCGGTCAGACTTGTGCGAGATGCAGAGCGTCTCCGCGTTATTTCGCATCGGTAATACCGGGCCGCATTTTGCATCCGCTTTGTTACGGTCTGACGAAACTGGGATAACAATGCGCTTCCGTAGTGACTTACGCGGAATAAAGAATTGCGGGATGATTATTCAGAAGCAGTGACTCAGAGGAGACACTTGCACCGGCATGAAGTGTATTAAGTATGTCTGTACAGTTCCGCGACTCGCGGTTCGCACGGCTGCATTGTGAGACTGTTATCAGCGTGATAGCGCAGTCGCCACGCGGGTCCGCCGGTTATCTCGAACGTCGAACTCGCGCCTATATTTCACCTGTAGTATAACAATCATTTGGACCGGCGCAAGCGCTGGCCTCTGTGATTCAATCACTCGATTAGGTCACTCGTCGCTCGGGATTCTCGTAGCGATAAGAAAAACGGTCGTTTACGGAAGAATGATGGATTACGCGATTACCGCTCCGGAGAACGCTGTCTATTGATTTCGCAGTCGTACACTCGCTTTCTTTCCCCGCATTTGGCACCCCCTCAAATTCTCCGCGGACGTGCGATCTATAATCCGTGAGATTTTACGACACTGCAGAGACGCATACGCACGCGCGACGTGTGTCTCTTTACTTATTATTCGTAACTTTATAGTCGTCGCGTTTTTTGTATACTCAGCTGCTGACTGACTGCGTAAATATCTCTCAGACGCAACGTTGAGCGCGCGAATCTAAAACGCGGCCGGAATAATTGGATTTTTTGGAGTTGGCGCTCGCTGCATCGTGCGAAAAACATTTCAAGGATTCGAGATTATCCTGGGAAATTTGCTCGTAGAAAGTCGAGTGTCGTTTGTACCCTGCACGATGTTTCATCGTTTCTCTTTTTCCAAAAACTTCGGGTGAGCGGTAGCAGTCTTGCTTTCTTTTAAAATTTCCCAGCATATTTCAGATATTTTTACGGATAAAAACGAAGGAAACATCTTTCCCAAAAAACCTCCGCGGCAGTGCATGGAACAATTCATAACGGACATTTTAAATCCCGTTTCAGTAGAATTTGTTGCAAACATTTGCCAAGAGGTCGTGTAAACTGACTTTATAGAAACAGAATTCTGAGAGAACACGGTGAAAATTTTAAACAGTAATTTTTGAGGATGTGGAAATTACTATATATCTAATCTGTAATCTTCCATGTGTCATGGATGAGCTCCCGCTTTGAAATTGTTTTCTTCCAATTCTAGTTATTTCCGTCGATAAATTATTCGGCTACCTTTTTTTCATCATTCACGAGAGGACGATTGTTAGCCACATATCCGCGCTTTTCATCTCCTTCAGTAGGTATTTGTACACTAGGTCCAGTTGTGATACTTATTGCTTGTGTTATAAGTAGTTATAACAGGCTGTTATAACTCTCGTTAAAATGTTCATTGCAATATAAGCAGCACTTTCGAGTGTGTTTAACTCGCTGGAATGATTTTTACATCACGGCATTTTTGTTTTTATTAATATTTCGCATGTAACCTACACAAACAGCATTTAAACAAGTTCATATTCGTTTAGATCATCGGGCACGAGATAAGTAAATTTTATAACAATTTTATACATAATACATAATGCTAAGATTGCTGGCCTGCCCGCCGACAGCTGTTTGCGATACGGTGCGACTGTCTATAGTTAGAGTTCGTAACTTCGGAAATATAATAATACAAATTTTTCAACCAGGTTACATATACACGTACACTATTCTTAAAGGTATAGAGATAAAATTTAAGTTAAATCTAAGAAATTCGAATTTTTATATTTTTCAAGATAGTTCAATTTTTACACAAGTCAGAACCGGCTGCGAAAAACAATATGGACAATGGAAATTTTTATTATCCGAAAAATTCTTTACTTTATTCAAATGTGTTTCAAAAAGAACATAAGAAGAATTGTTGAGAAATTCATCTTTTTTCCTTTGTTCTCATTTTTTCTTTCGGAAAAGATTTTCCAATCTCAGAGGAACGAATTTTCTACATTCATTCTTCACGCTTAACAATTGACCCTTGAAGGAAAAAAAAAAACACAAAAGATGGTGGACCCTTTCTAGAGAAAAAAGAAACAAAAGGATCTTTATCTTTTCCTAGTCTTTTCAAAAGAAAAGAAGGATTCAAACATATCATGCAGGGTACAAACAAAATTGCAAGCCTCAAGAACGTTTTGTGTTCTCGAAAAATTGCGCTTTCTCGAGAAATGTATTTTTCAGAATAATTCTCCATCCTTGAGACATGTCAACTTTGACAAAAAAATTAATATTAAAATATTAAGTAACAAAGAAGGTCGATCAAGAACGTCAATCGCGGTAATAGTCGAGTCGTGATCTATTATCGTTCTCGTCGTCTCTTTCAGAGGAAAGATTTTCTAAGTTCAGAGAAAGAATTTTCTAAATTCATTCTTCACGCTTAACGACCCCTGGTCGAAAGGGAAAAATACAAAAGCCAGAGATCTCTTCTAGAGAAAAAAAGAGACGCAAGGGTCGTTGACCCTTTCGAAAGAAAAGACAAATGCAAACATATGGTATAGGATATAAAGAAAATTATAAGCCTCAAGAACGTTTTGCACTTTACATTTTCGAAGACCTTTACTTTGCGATTTCTAGCGAAAAATGTCCACGTATTTTCCAGAACAATTTTCTCCATCTTCCGAGACACATCAACTTTGAAAGAGAAGAAAGTTCATATTAAAATATTAAGTAACGTAGAAGATATATCAAGAAGGTCGATCGACTGCAGTAGTTGAGTCGTGATCCATTATCGCTTCTATTACCTGGCCGTTTCCATAATTACCATCATTGAGCAACGTACCTGAAGGTTGAGAGCGCGCGTTGTATATTTTGCGAAGGCGCGCCCGCGTGTGCGTGCGTGAGTTTGCACGCGCGCGTACCGGCGGGCTCTTTCCTTAAGCAAACGACACACAACATTCTCGAGGCTCTCTTTCGCAGTAGTCTCAAGTAGTCTCCCGCGGTGACTACTTGAGATAATGTAACGTTACAGCGCGCGTGTCGCGCCAGTACGTTCGGGAACGCGCTCCGGTGAACGTGCGCCGCGCGAGAGAGTCGCCGTTGCGACTCGAGTGCGAGCGACCGTGTGTGACATTCTCTCCCATGTGTGATTGCGCGAGTGATCACTTGTTATTTCTCGCTTTCGTCTTCGCAGTCTCACGAAATAGTGCACCGGACAGATGTGAGTGCGCGATCGCCTCTGTGTGTTCGTCAAAGAGAGAGTTCGTCCAACAAAAAAACAAGAGAGAAACGTTCGACCTGTGTATCGATCATCGTGACTATTGCTCTTGACGTACCCGAATCGACCGTGCCGATCGATTTCACGGCAGAGAAGGCAAGCGGAAAACGGTAATTCTCGTCCTCGTACCTTGCGAATCGTCCGGTGACGCGCGTTATTACTCATAGGAGCGATAGAAAACAAAATAACGCGTATAAATGACGAGACACGCACGTGGCGGACGCGACGACGCGCTTGGAATTTTTGACTCGTGCTTCGAAGACGCGACCTCCTCCTCCTCCTCCTCTCCCTCCCTCTTTCACCTTCGTGATTGCGAGCGCGTGCTGAAATGCACCGCGTGTCGGTCCCGTTTGCGTTCCCGAACGATTCTCCAAATGAGACGCGAGCGTTGCCACGTATAATAGCGCACACGGGCGGTCGTCCTTTGACGCTCAACAGGGAAAAGTGAAAGGACCTCGCGTGCTTCCCGAACGCGCGTCGCGCGACTCCCAAGTACGCCGCATGACACACGGTGCGGCGTACGACATTATACAATCCACGCGATTCAGAGTCTTTGTTTTGAGTTATTCCGCGGAAAAGAGCGAGTGAACGGACGCTTGTCGCAAAGCAGACGAAGCGGTGATTAATGCGAGGGGGAACGAGGATTGCTGCGCACTCGCGTGCATTTAATTGCGCGCGAATGGTTGCGATCGTGCTCGCGAAGAGCGTCAGCTTCTGAAAGACGTTTAGAAAAATGGTTCGTCTTAAGGACGTCCGTGTGGGAAAGATCTAGATAGGAGTCTCCAATAATAATAATAATAAAAATAACAACAACAATAACAACAACAGTGATCCTTTAACCTAATAATTTAATCAAATATCTCTTTTAAAGATTCGCGCTGTCTAGATTGCTGCTTTGTTGCCGCGAGAATTGCCTAATGCGCTTCGCACCGTTATTGCTGCGCGGCCAGTTGCGTTTCGCGATGTAATACGGGATTTTGCAACGGTAATTGCGCAATTGTAAAATCGATTTTACCCGTGTGACTTCTGCACAACCACCGACACCGTGTATCTGTAGTCGCGACCGCGTGATCGGAAACATCACGTGAGACGTGAGAGAAGAGAAACCGATGAAAGAGCGCTCCTCCAATTTGGAAATAATTCAGCCGTCGATAGCTCGGCGGTCGACAAGGCCACGTGACCACCTATCGATCTGCTATCGATTCCCCCGCGCGACGAGCGCGGCGGACGTTTCGAACACGCGACCGAGGGTGCATTCATGGAGACGCTATTGCTACTCTTACAGGCTGTTTGCAGAGCTAGATGATAGCGCTAATAATAGTTACCATAACGTCATTAATGATAGTGTTTACATCATAACTTCGCGCTGTCAATGCTATTTCTTCCGAGTTAGTGTAAAGATAGCGTTTGCAAGCTCCGTTAACACCCAGAACCCTAATATGGTGATATGAACTACACAAGGTGCTGGTATTAATTATTTTTATTTTATATATTGTATGTTATGAATGTAATATAATGCAGTACTTCTACCGACCGTAAATTGTTCAGAAATTGACCTGAAACATTAAGAAATATTTTAAACATATATGAAAGTTGTTTTCTACTTTCTAGTAACACAAATCAATATTAATATCGTTAAGCATATTCAGCAGAACTGTAGGTTTAGCAAATGCTTTGTGTTTATTATTTATGTGTTTATTATTCAATATCAAAGAATCTGGAATAGCTAGTCTCCACAACATGTCAACAAACATTGTACGCGTGAAAAAGTCATTGGTGTTCCTGCTGTTTTTCTTTATAGTTTGGACCCAATAATAGATAGAAGATACTCAACAGTTTCAGGAAGCATCCTAAATCATATATTAATCACTTATTAAGTTAGTTAGATATTAGATTAGTTCGAATTCTATTACCATAGACATTTCGATAGAAATATTAAGAAAACAGACATTATTTACATTAATACCTGAAATGAGCCTTAAAATCTTGATTTGTTAAAGCTGTGGCACTATATTACTTGTACATAATTAGGTATCCTCGTCACTTTTCTTCTTTGATTTAATGTTATTCGCAATACTACGATTTCTTCGTTTTCACTTGACGAAGAGTAGCATCCCAGCTCTTGTATTTTTCCAGAACTAATAATGATATTAAATCTTTTCGATTTGTCCCCGTTTTCAATGTCGTTTCAAACAGAAGCGAAATATTTCAAACACCTTCCAAAAGTCTGTTCTGCAGCAATGGCAAGCGCTATACGCTGAAGCTGTTGACGGAGTTCGCTGTCGCAATCGCGCTATTGGCTCCGTGTACTTGTGGCTTCGGTAGCATCGTTAATAGCGTCTCCCTGAGTGCGCAGTGCCGTCCGAGTGCCGTCGCGATCGCGAATGACCCGCGCGCGAAGTTGGCCGTTCCACAGGTTTTCACGGGGAAATACGCTCGTGAAACTAGTTCCGTGCCGTATCAGTCGAACTTTATCGCCGCTAGTTCGCGGTAACGCGTTTGCACGTGCGCGCGCGATGGCACATGTGAAATCATACGGCGTATGCCGTCATGCTCGGTGGAGCGATCGATGACACCACCGCTGATCGCGCACCGTAGCGAGAAAGAGACAATCAGGCGGCTATCAGGCAACTGATAAGCGTGGAATGCGTGTGCAGCGCGGCAGGTGTTATGTCTGACTGAACATCCTAACTAGGATTACCTGGGTGAGTTTCGACTCTACGCATTCTGCGTAAAGTTGAAAATCGTGGCAAACTGTGTGTTAACATTGTGCTCGCATGTTGCATTCGGGAGAATCTGCCCGCTGCATAAATTGTGCGATTCGGTAACAATGATATGTAATCGTCAAGACGCAAAAACAATAGATTGTGATAACTGAGTGTTGTAATGTTTGATTACAACATAGTATTTGCGCTACTTTAAGCTGTTCATTCGTCTCGGATAATGAAGCATTAATTTCTATCAATTTCGAGTAACTGTTGCGAGCTCGCCTCTCCCGTCTCCCACGAGAGGTGTTGTCAAACGGATCGTCTGAGCAATCGCGCGATCGATCAAATTTCTCTAACAGGCTCCGACCACAATGAGTCTTTATTCGAAGTCGAGCACGCTTCGAGAATGCACTCCCGTCGGTTCAAGTATCGATTTTAACGCTGCGGAGCCCGCCTCTACATGCCGCACGCACTCGCTGCGCGCGTGAAAGGGTTAATTGATCTCTTCGCTCGGTCTTATGTGAATGTGATTGTCTTATCCCGCGTTTCATACACGCTCGTCTCTCTTTTCTCCTTTCCTCCCGCCGTTTTTTTTTTTTTTTTTTTTTTGCGAGTGTATCAACCTTCGCGGAGCGTTAACTCATGATCGTTGACGCAACGAAAGCTCGGAGTGGTGATCATGATCGTAAACATTATCGGGCCGATCGCGCACCTGGCGAACTTTGAATGGGAGGGGGGGGAGGGCTGAAGGGCGGCCGAGAGGGGTTCACTCACACGAGGACCCTCCGCTGATTCTTGTCGGTTTAAACAATCGTGGCCTCGTGAATGAGCGAGCGAGCCGCGGCGCACGCATTCCAACGAATTAACTTTAAATGGCCCGCGGGAGGCTCGGCTCTTACTCCCGCGAAGCTCGGCACGTGCATCGAAAGCCAACTTGAGTAAACTTTTGAACGAGGCCTATTTTAGAAGCGCGCGCGAACCTCCTGTTCCGGCAACTCGCTGACTCTTCGTTCAGCGTCGAGAGAAACGTACACACGAATGAACGCGTGCACGCGATGCAGATATCTCGTCCGCTGGGAATATTTTCCATCTCTCATTTGTCCGTGGTCGAATAAGCGGGCGCGACCGCCCGATGTTCTTGAAATTATTCTCGATTCTCGAAAGGAAATGATTTAATTCCACAAATTAAAATTGAAGACGAAAAATTGTTGGTTTTATCAGGAAGATTATGGAAATTATATTCGATTCTATCGTCATCATTGAGAATATATATCGCATAGATTACTAATTAGATTGCTAGTTTTTAGATTAGTAATTTTTTACCGTTTGGACGTTCCGGATATTTGGATGCAACGAACATTTCGATATTCATCATCGTCGATTTTCTTGTCGAGTTTCTTGCGTTGTTAAATTACGAATAACATTCGACGGAGCGTAGACGTAAACTCGTGAGAACGACAAATAAAAGATGAGTGAGAACAGTATCTAATCCCATCTCACGAACGATAACCATCCAGCTGACGCGGTCCCGGAAGATTTCGGTTTATGGAAATACGATAGTGTCGAATATCTGTCGCCGCGTAAAGGTCATTCTACAATACGTGTCGTAAGTTGTAAGCCGTAAGAATTGGCGAATCACAGTCGATTATTACAAAAATAATTGGTCAGTTCTTACGGCTTACAACTTACGTTAGTAAAACACGTATTGTAGAATGACCTTAAGGGAGACACAGCAACTCGAGCGAATGCTTGTCCTCCGCTTGTACGTCTCCACGTACAATGTTTCGGCACTCGTAAAATCCGGATTAGACGCGAGGATATATCTTGACACAGCGGCTATTTCGAACGTGGCTTCACCGGCTAGGGCGAGACCGATATATGTTTATTTTTAGAGATGTCCAATGTTATTAACCTTTGACCGCATCGATGGCGAGATATTCGCGTTGCGAACGCATTCTCCCTCCGGATCGATTCCGAGCGATATCCGCATCTGGACGTAGATTCTGTCTGTCTGATCTTCGATCGCGTGTGGAAGATTGATGATGCCGTTCGTGAGGAATGTATACAGAGATCCGACGCACACCTTTGGAATTCCGTGTCTCCGTTATTGACACTCGTCAAACGTCAAACGCCGATCTCTCGACGGGCATATATATGTCAACGTGGACGATTTTATACAACGTTGTAATTAACGTAACATATCGGAGTTCGGGATCGTTCGGAAAAAGAATCATGCGGAGTCGAGTATAACTTTAACGATCTTTCCGCGACTGTCTCCTATTCCTAACAGTTCTAACTCGTTCTAATACAATGACATAATCTTTTTAGTAACTAATAATTGTTTATTTTTAATCGAATTTATATAGCAATTGTTTCCGCTTATAGTAATGTTTCAACAACAGCGATATAGCTAGGCATATTAAACATTTTTCTCTCTCGATAATGGTTGCGAAAGAATATTTGGAAGAACGTGACGCCGACTTGATATTTATGCTATTTAATACGAGGAAATAGCTTGCTTTTATTATCGTCGCATCCCGACGAGTTAACGAGCATTTTTCTGTCTTCTGTCCCCAACAGACAACAACATGAAAAGGTCGGAGATCAACATTTTCCCGAGCATGGAGCCCGTAGCGTCTACGAGTCGTGCCGACAACTCTCAGATTCCGCGGCCGCTCAAGGATTCAGAAAAATTCGCCCCGAAACTAAAGAAATTCTGCGACAACACGGTCCATGAAGGAGTGTCCGTAGCCGCTCGCAAGGCGCGCTTTCAGAGGAACGAACCTTCCGTGCTGCTAAAATATCGCAACAATAATATGCCGACGACCAGCAACGGGACACAACGCACCGAGATGAAAAGGTTACCGGGGAAAATAACTGCATCACCCATCAACATAACCGAGTGGCTCGGGGAGGAGGGCAAATTGAACCCTTTGGAGCCGAAACACATACAACAAGATCGTGTGCTTGATGATTATAAATGTAAGAAATTTTATAAAGATAGTTGTTGATTACGTTAATGACTAGTTTCAAGTAGAGATGTGCGAATCAAGAATTTTCATGTTGAATCGAATCGAATCGAGTCATTAAAAAATTTAACACGACTATTAAACATGCAAATGATGATGGAAGATTTTAATATGAAAGGGAATGTTGATATTGTAATATCGTCTTAAAGTAAAATATATATTTAAATATTTTAAGTAATTTATGATCAAGTTATTAATTATATAAGTTAAGTTAATTACAAGTTAAGGATTCAAACATACAGGCCCAGATGGCCCGTTTTGTACAGCTGATGCACATAAACGATAATGTATTTGATTCCTATTCGCTTTATTCGGATTCGAACTCGAATTCGTTCGCACATCTCTAGTTTCAAGTGAAGTCGAAGAATTCGGGTGTACAGTCGTGGGCAGAAAGTAATTTTTCGTGAAATTCACGCAATTCTTTGCGCATTAGGAACGTACAATGGGCGAATTTTTCCGTTATAGAACGAATTCTCCCATTGAATTACAACGAGAGTACATTCCGAAAGTCAGGCAAAAAATTACGGGTAAACTCTTTGCCCACGAGCGTACACGTGTTTTTTTTCTAGTGTAGCCGTTTTTAGAATTATTTTTACGCAACATTTCGCGATGTTTCTGATGGGATTTAGTGAATCGAAGCTTGGAATAATCGCACGGTTTGTACAGCTCTGTGAATTTAGGTCTTTAGGTAGAAATTCTGTGAATTTAGGTAGGGGGTTTTGTAAGAAAAGTATGTTTGACAAACTTGAAGAAAATGTTTGCAATTATACGGGTTCGAATTTTTAAAAACGGTTACGTTAATGCATAAAGAAAATTAGCAAATTAGCTTACTTTATAACATTCCATTTCTTTCAGCGTTTACCAAGTACCGATTAAACAGATATAAATACAGGGCACCCATCGAACATCTTGATAACAGCAGACGACTAAACGTATTTATGAACATGATTGGTGCATATTCTGATATAGATGAATGTGAAAACAAATCCTCTGGTGAAATAATACCTGATAATTCCTCTATAATTCATGAACATTCATACGGTCGACGCGATACGATCTATTCATATTCTCTGCAGCAATATAGCATTTACCTCCATAATTTCCTATGACTGATTTATTTAATTAAATAAATTGATTTATTCATTGAAAATTTTCCATTTAATTGAATCAAAAAGAATCCCTAAAATCGATCTCCATTTTGAACCATTCAGGTTCAGTTAGCATGAGACTACATTTAAGATTTGATTCGCGTAATTCTCTTTTCGATGTGGCTCATAGTTGCGTGTTTAACGTTCGACGAAACCGAGATTGCTGTTGTTGGTTTTTCATACTCTTTTTTTTTTGTCGAGTTTGCATGCGATAAGCAGTTCAGGTCAACGGCAGCCGGTGCCGATTCGATTGCGAGACTTTTCTTGACGGAGGCTCATAAGTGATGGATGGAAAGTGCGTGCCGCGCGAATGCAGTTCACGGACAATCGACCAGCTGGTCGATTGTGTAGTCGATTATCGCGTCGTGATTCACTTCTGTATGCGAAATGACGGCAATGACGTTTTATTAGTCACACACCATGTTTACGCACGACAAAGAATCACGCTAAATCGACGTAGATAAAACATTATTGACGCGAGTCATTTGTAAGGGGAGGAAAGACTTGTATTAGGTCTGGTAGTTAATCCTTTTCCTTCTATAAATTAATAAAATAATAAAATTTATATAGCTTAGAGCAAAATTTGTAATTAATTTGTAATTAAAATATTTCCCGTTTTTTTTTGCGGTTTTAAAGCGTTGACATTAAGTTTTCGAAATGAAAATATGATGTGGTTTGATGCACTTCAAATAATCAGTAGTGTTCTCAATGGATACAAAAAGCATATTTGATATGTAATACATTTTAGATTTCACTTAAACAGAAACGCTTCTGAAGCAGCCAAAATGATTTATCCTGCTTATGATGAAAAAATTGTGATTGATCAAACAAGCCGAAACGTTTAAACGTTTTTGAAATGGTAATTTTGATTTTCACAACCAACCACGTCCCGATCAGTCAAAAAAATTTGAAAACGAGGAGTTGTAAAATCTACTGAATGAAAATACAGCATAAATATAAGAACATGCAGAAAAGCTGGGAGTAACCTAAAACACTATTTGCGATCGTTTACATCGTATGGGAAAGATATAGAAAGAAAAGAAGTAGGTTCTACACAAGTCTTTATTGTTTATTGATAATAAAAATCGCCGATTGATTTTGCTTGCTAGGCAAAAAACAAAAAAAGATTTTTTATATAAAATTGTAACTGGTGACGAAAAATAGATATCATCCTGTATATCATCCTGAAAATCCTGAAATCCTGAACGCAAAAAATCATAGGTAAACCCTGATCAATCTGACCTTGATAATGTCAACAGCAGAACCCAAACGTTTCGGAAAGAAATTTCTTCTTTGTGTATGGTGGGACCCCTAAGGGTACGCTGTACTATGAGTTTTCTTGAAATCGAGTAAAACCATTAAAGCAGAGATTTACCGAGAGCAATTGATACATTGATTAAGTGATGCAATTGAGAAAAAAGGCCATTTACTGGGCAAGGCAGCCGTAAAGTCATCCTGCTGTACGAATGCTAAACCGCATACGGCAAAACACAAAGGGAATCATTTTACACTTGGACTGAGAAGTTCTCCTACACGTGGCGTATTCTCCAGACTTGGCTCTTTTCGGATTTTCGCTTGTTTCGATCGATGCAACACGCACTGTCTGACACACATTTCTCGACCATTGATGTACGAAATTTTATCTACGACTTTGTAGCCTCAAAGCCACCAAGTTTCTATCGTCGGCAATTGTCCAATAAATGGCATAAGGTCATCGATAACAAAGGAGAATATTTCATTGATTGATCTTGTTCTATTGATTTTTAAATAAAGATTACAAATTATCGAAAATTGGGAAGAATTAATTACTAGACCTTATATTTTAAGCCGGATATAAGTAAGCCGGATTGCAATCGATCGATTGACAACGATCAATAGGGCGAGTCGATCGCAAGTTTAAAGCGCGAGCGGGGACAAACTGAAAAAATTAAACGATATATTGCACGGAGAATGATCTCCTTCCTCAGAAACGTTCTCAGATTCGAGTACGAGTCAGGTGATTAAGCGACAGCTACGTCGTGAAGAATAATTCATGCATAATACATCGCGATGTGTCAGAGTTTTATTCTCGATCAAGGTTCTTCAGGTTTCAGTGCTGGGCATTAATCGATTGAAATTCGTTCGTTGACTAAAGTAACGTCAAAGGACCCCAAAACAATAACCGAAATTAATTAATCGTCACATATGCATAATTATGAATAATCTAGTCGATTGGTCAAATTCATTGTTAATTAGTACATAATTAACCAGATCAGAGTTGTTCAATCGAAGCGGTCGGTATAACGATGGTTATATGTAATCACGAATGAATTTTGATTATTTTAGTCAACCAAAATTTCAGTCGGTCAATGCCCGGCACTGAATTTTCATCAGAACATAAACAGTAACAGTAGTCGTCGATAGAGGTAATGTAGAAAAACAGATATACACGTAGTAGCATACCCCGCAGTAAATCCTCCCGTGAATTTTCATACAGAGAATAAAAGAAAGATGAACCATTTCTTCTTGATAATTCACGGTTGCTTTCGCAGCGAGCAGAGAGCATGCGAATTTGCAGAGGAAGTACGAACAATTGCAGAAGGAACACAGCACGCTGCGGGCGAAGGTGCAAGAGAAGGAGCAAAAGTTGGAAAAATTGGAGACAGGTGCGCATTTAATCTCATTAGTTACAGCGCGAATTTCAGAACGATCGGTTCTCACGACCTCGTACGATTTCTCCTTCTGCATAGTTTCCAAAGGGGTGTGCAGGGAGTACGAGCAGCTGAAGTATCAGTATGACGTGGAGACGAGCGCGATGCACAAAGCCATGCAGCAGGCGTCTCAGGTGACCTATTGATACACCGATCTCGATTTTAGTTATAACATTACGATGCACCATAAGCACGATAAGGTTATACACAGGAAATAAGTAGCTACGTATCGTCCTGAGACGCGCGATTGTGCTTTCAGTGGTACAGACAAAACCGTGAGCTCAAGCGTAAGTCACAGATTATGGTGCAGAAACTTCTGCACAGCAATCCCGAGGAGTCACTGGACTTGGACGTGTCCGACGAAGTGGACGCAAACTTCGAGGATGTCGATCAGCTGAGGCAAACGGTGAAGGGTAAGCGTGATTGCTTCCGATGCTTATCTCTCCGTTCCTTAGAGGTGAAAGTCGGCACTTGCAGCACCAGACAGACTAGGGATCCATTTTCTTTTTTCTTTCGAAATTGCTCGATACGACGTCGCTCGCGAAGTGAGAAAGACAATTATTATTATATTCAATAGAAAATAGAATGTGATTACAACCGAGCCGTGAATCCACTTGTAGAACTGAGCGGCGAGATAGCGCGGCTCCAAACGGAACTTCATTCCGCCCGGCTTCAGGAATTCGAAGCGCAAGAGCAGGTGACGCATTTGACCACACAGCTGGAGGAGGAAAGGGCCTTCCGACAGAATGGTATAACACTCCGGCAATATCCCGTAATCTGAATCATGTCGGACTGACCGATTTTCGTCTCTGTGTATGTCGCAGGCGAGGAGAAAATTAACGTACTGCAAGTGAACAAAGAGAACATGGAGAGAGTCACGAAAATGGTGGCCAAGGAGGTGCAAGCTCTGAAGGCGCAGTGCGATCGCGAGAGAGAGAATGCGAACATTTTCAAGAAAGAGGCTGAAAAGGTGCGTCATTTTTATCTCTTTTATCTCTTGTATGAACGCACAGATAACCTCTCGTTCCGCTAAAAAACGATCTCTGACGCAATTTATTAGCCACAGTAACATTCTCGTAAATATCCCAAATCGCATATGCGATAGAAAAATCGAGTGAAGGTGAACGTATTCGAGCTCTTTCTGCGTTCGAGGAATGCGTTCGAGGAAAATTGCAACGACGGTAAATCCTTTTGACACATAATCCTGATTAACTCGGTACGCGCAACTAGATACAAAAGGAACGAAACGTCCTGGCGCACCAAAGCGCACTTCTCATGGTCGACGTCGGGGACGACCCGAACGGCAGACTGTTAAGCGTGCTGCAAGAAATGGAGTCCCTGAAGAGACTGCTGGAGGAAGAGCAGCAGAGTCACGTGTCCCAGGTGCAGATGCTCCAGGAGAAATTGGAAGAGAAAGAGTCGAACGTGGAGTTCGAAATAGTCGAGGAGAAGCTGAAACTCGCAGAGTCCGAGCTGGAGATGATGCTTCAGAGAGCCGAGAGGGCCGAGAAATCGGTGGAGGAACTGGAGAGCGTGGTGTGTTGTTTAAAACAGAAAGTCAGCGAGTTGGAGGAGAAAGCCTCGAGGCCGCCACCGCCACCTCCTCCGCCACCACCGCCGCCGCCGCCGCCGCCGCCGTTGTCGTCGTCGTCGATGTCGGCGGCTGGACAATCGACGATAAAACTGCTGATCAAAGAAAGATCGGCCGCGAAACCCACGGCCGTAAGCGAAATGGAGAATATGCTCGGTATCGCGCCGAAGAAAACGCCCGCGGTTGCGCAACAGCCCGGTAATTGTGCCGTTATTAATTTATAATTAATTATAGCTCGTTATACTTCGTGAATTAATCACAAGATTATCACGCGAATATTGTTGCGATAAAGCGATTACGATTCTCGTTAAATAAATGCTCACGCTATATTCGTTATTTTTAGTTATCGACGATATCATTAATCAGATCAAAGGCGGGCGTTTCACGCTGAAGCAAACAGACGTAAGTATCGGATTGACTTTACTTTATGTAAAGATATCAGAGAGATTTTCCAATCTCCCAAACAGCTTTTGAAAATTAACGTCTTCCATATGTCTCTTCTGGCTGATTAGACCATTTGGCTAGTTTCAGCAACGAGCAATATTTCCTTTGAACGTATCTTAAGCGAGATTGTTGATTTTTAGAAACAAAGAGAAGAGGAACGAAAGAGACGGCAGGAGGCGGAGAGTGCGCCGCCAGCGGTTTCCGAAATGCTGAATATTCTTGGTACTATGAGGCGGAGAGCCAAGCCAGTAAGACAGTCGATCAAGCCTCCAGACGCGACAATGTAGTACAACCAAAGTTGCCTCTAAACGGAAGTAATCTACTATTCCAAAAAGGAGTTCGTTGAGTCTCAAACGATTGACTAAAGTATACATACACGTTATTGTTATTATTACATTTCACTAAGATATATATCTTAAATTCGTCGTAGAACTTCGTTGTTTCACATGTATATTTTTATATATACATGTATATATACATATAGGTCTGCCTTGCTCAATCAAAAGTCGCGCAGTATATTTATATTCGATAAAAGTTAACTTTTGTACCGCTATATGAAAATGTGATCGAAGTGCAATGATGTTTTAAGATGCAAAGACCGTCGAATATCTCGCGAATGTAACATCTTAAGGTCAGGAGAAATAAAGCTAGAAAAATGTAAGAGTGTGAAAGTAGGCGGAAAATACATGGAAACAGTTTGCAGTAAGCATTACATAGAAGGTGTATTATATAAAGCTTCATAAAAAAAACACGTGCCATCACAATTACACATGTCGTCGCGTCCGCGCTTGTGCGCGCACGCAAAGTATAAAAGAAATTGTCTCTGAGAAGCACATCCTTTTCCCTTTCGTATTATTGCGAAAAGGAAGTTTGCCAGGGAGGGGAATCAGCTGTATCGTCGATACTACTCCCGCTCGCGTGTATGATTAGGACACCTGACTCTTTATTTTGTCAATGATAGATTGCAACTTCGAAGCTTCAAAGAGAAGAACGCGTCTGTAAGGTACCATTTCCTCGTCCGTTTCAGTCCACATGCCGGACAAACCGGTGTCCGAGTCTTTTTCCACGGAGAACTCGAAACTAACAGTCGCTTCTTCCGCGAAAATCTCTTCCTCCCGATTGCTCCACAATATGGTCGGTTCGTTGTCGGCATTTTTGTTCTTGTTTTTCGTTTTCCTCCCAATTTTCTTATTATCTTCCCACTTGTACAGCTTGCAGATAAGTATGTAGTAAGAGAAGTTAAATGGCATGTTCTTGCTGTTGGCACGTTTCACTTCGGAGACTAGATTTTCAAGCAACGGTACCGCAATTTGTGCCGGAATATTAACGAATCTCTCGTTAATGAGCAAACCCAATTGGGCTACATCGTTCTCCAGCACATTCTTTATCATGGTGTTAGTAGCATCTGTGGCGTGTTCACTTGCTAATTGCTTCAATAAATCTCTAAGTTGTTGTATGCATGGAAGGTTCTGGAAAAGAAGAAAAGAAAATTTTCTGATTTTCTCCTGTGCAAAAAGGATTGCTTAAAACTGATATATAATAAAAACTTTAATTCGACAATAATCATGTATTACTGTATTAATTTTTCTTACCTGCCTGTCTGAGACATTAATAACAGTTGTAATACCGAATACGTCATTAACATCGTCGTCGTCGTCGTCATCATTATCATCTTCCATATCACTGGACTGTTTAACAACAGATCCCACATAATTTTGAGTTATTATTAAGTCTGTAAGTCCACCTAAATCGATATGAGCTTTGAGGAAAAGTTGTTGCAGCAATATCTTGATCCCATGGTAATCTGGATCCTGTGGATTACGACCCTCAAAATCCACTTGAATTTCCATTCCCTAAAATTGATGTAAATCGACCACGTCAGATCACACTGTTCTTTGCTGTTTGCACATGTAACGTTAATTAAGATTTATAATGATGCAGAAGAAATGAAAGAAAAAGAATAATTCGTGGAAAAGTTATAAAATTAAACAAAGTACGTACATTACTTACATGATTACGACAAATTACGACACTACGATTACTCATGATTACACGTGACTCATAGATAATAACAACGCGTTAAATGCTCGACTGAGCAACAAACGGAAATCCGATAAGCAAAACGATTTAAACGATTTGTATCATCGAATTGGCGATACACTGCTTCGGCCCCTGTCGACCGAGGACCAATTGCGCTAGAATGATGGTTGAGCGAAACATTCGTCTCGTGTTCGCGAGATTATTACATCGAATCCTCATTTTTGTACTGTTTGCAATGCACCCGGTCGCATCGACGAGTAATGAGAAAGACACGTAATGAGAAAGAAACTGAACGCAATAAACTTAACTGGGCACATCATACGGAGACAACCGCGTGGTCATTGATAGGGTTAACTCGCCCGGTATCGCGATATATCGCGCGGAATACAAATAATCGTCTCTCACCTGCTCATCTCCGTCGTCCTCGCACGCGGACGAGTCGCGGTCCTCCTCATCGTCGTGTTCCTCGTGCAAATCTTCCGAAATATCACGTTTTTTCGCCGGAGCGGCCATTGCAACAATACTATCGAACACGATGGTGCATCGACGACTGCTGCCTGCTGTATTCGTCAACGTCAAGTCGTCAAGTACAGAGAGATCTGTAGGTAAAGAAGTGACCCCTGTACTGAGGTAGGTGGAAGAACGATGGTTCTGTGACGATTCATTCTTTTCAGTCTCGCGCGTTACATTTCCCTGGAATACAAAATATAATTTTAAGAAATACAAAAAATAATTTTAAGGAAGTTCGTGAGATTAAGGGACGATCATAAAACATGGAGATGGCCGTTGCGATATGCAAGTACTTTTCAGATAAATATCAAAGCTCTGACTTCGCTGATCTCCTGTTTTTCATCGCTGAACTAGTGTACATTCAGGGAATATAAAAAGAAATAGATATACACATCTAGGAGTTGGTGAAAGGGAGAGAAGAAGAGAATAAGTGCAAGTTAGTGCAGCCAGTTCAGCAATAAAAAACAAACCTCGTGAGTGGTCCGTTCTTGACCCTATAATCGGTCGACCTGCTTTTGCAACAACATTCGTTTACACGTACAGGCAGTTTGGAAATCGTATAAAATCGTCTGATCGAGTACACCAGGAACGATTTCGTGCTTTTTTACACTTATTCGCGATCAAGAGACCATATTCACCTAATGCCCAATTTCTTCACCTTCGGTTAAACTTAACTGCCGGTTACTAACGGAATCGACCAATAGCATTTATTTATTCTAATTAACAAGAAATGCGATTGGTCAATTCCATTGAAATGACCAACATTTAAGTCTAACCAAAGGTGAAGAAATTGAACTTCGAATCTCTTGTTCTGCGGGTAACAAGAGCATGATTAACATTTTCACCGTGAAGTGGCGCCACTCGCGCGCTTCGAGCGACTGCTTCGCAGTCGAGCGCGCAAAAAAGGCAGTTCCGCTCGCTTAAACGTTCGTGTCGCGTGTTAATTTATGCATTCGAGTTTTAACACCCGTACTAATGGAAAGTTAACGCCGTTTGTCGCGGGTATTCGGAGGGGGGGACACCGTGTATGCATCTCTCTCTCTCTCTCTCTCTCTCAGATGAGGTGAGTACATACAAATGAGAATTAACTGTGAAGTAAGCTAATTGTCTCCGTGTTTTAATGCACTGATTTCGCATAATGTATGAAAGACTACTTCATAATATGGCGATTGAGTTGCCTTTTTACATTGCATCGAATCATATCGTGATAATCTCGAGTTTTCGTCAAACTTCCGTAATTTTATCCACGCTCCGTGATTTCTATCACAAGTCTATTCTTTTTCCGTATGTGAGATACATGAAAATTCATTTTTCCGAAGAAACTCAAATTTCTTTCTGAGACTCGACAGTTAAGCCGCCATTTTATGTTAACAAGTAACGAGATAAATCGCGACAAACAGATTTTTATCGAGAGAAGTAGCATATTTTCGAATTGAGCGATCGACGAAAAACGACGAATTTACATAACCTCTCGTCACTCACATTAATCATCAATGAGACAGAAAACATAAATACTTTCTGAGGCACGAAGCGGAAACAAAAAAGGCTAAAAAACATTAAAAAGAAATCGTTTGTAGAAATCGCATTAACAGATCTTGTTCTCTTTAGCAGGCTTCTTTCACACTTTGTATATGAAGTAAATCAGTATATTTTTTGTATCGACGGAAGCAGAGAGATAGAGAAAAACATCATTGAGAATTACAGCAGCTCGTTGTAACTCGTCCTGATAAAGGGGGCATGGTTGAAAGGGGGCAGGACTGATCGCTTATCGCACCGCGTGCCAATAATACCGCAAAATCGGGCGGAAAAAGCCATTCGAGCGGCGAAAAGGGTGATCGGGCGAACGCGCGGCAAAATTTAAATTTCCGCGACAGTCGATCGCGTGCAGCGAAGCGAGGTCGTCCCGCCCGTTGTCGGCGCTGCAACGCCGAAATTCGATTAAAGTTCTCGCGCATGGGCCGAAGGAAATGCCGTTTTCTCGAATTTCCCGGAGTCTGTCAGGTGGCACCACGGCGTACGTCGGTCCGGGCGCTACGTCGGGCGACCGTACTACGACACACGAGAGAGGAGCAGTGCTTTCTGTAGGTTATCGAAAGCACGTCCCAGGCCTAGAACCTTGCCCCGAATCGTAGACAGCAACAATTGACCGACACTGATCACCAACCGGCAGTCCTTTTTGTCCGTGCTCTCCCGTGACGTTTAGTGAGTGCTTTGAGCTGTGGCGGGCGGTGAGATGGCTGTCACTCTCTCTCTCTCTCTCTCTCTCTCTCTCTCTCTCTCTCTCTCTCTCTCTCTCTCTCTCTCTCTCTCTCCTCTCTCTCATCTATTTTTCTCTCTTCTCCCGCCCTCTCATTACGTTCTGTTCCTCTGGTGTTTCATTCGAACGGATCGAAAGCGTCGTCACTCGAGCGGAAGTGTTTTCCTTTTCCGATGCCGCGCAGAGGCGCGAGAAGGGAACAACGATCGGCTGTAAGGACCACTTTCGCATGACTATGGCATTGGAAATTGGACCGTGCCGAGGAGACGACGTCTCGCGATCGCGCTGGTTTCCTTCTAGATGTTCGGCTGAATAGATGTTTCAACTGCCACTTGATACACTTCGCCCGAACACCCGTGGTGTACACGCGCAACGTGCATACGCGCCACATTTCTACACCACACACACATACACACATACACACACACACGATACGTAACGTACACACAAAAACAACACGTACTCGTACTCACACGCACGCACGCACACACACACACACACACACACACACACACACACACACACACACATACATACTACATGTTCACTACACGCAACGCTTCTGGTTCTTGGCTGTTCGATGTTTCTTAGCGCTGTTTCTTGATAGCGTAGCTGTCTCACCTGCCTTGAACTGTCTACTTTACGTTCTCGTTTCCCGCTTCCTCGTTCCCGCGAGGCGTTTATCGACGAGCTCTCTGGAACACTCGAACTCCGATTTGCGAGGGACTCTAGGGGAGAACTATTCTCACCCTTGCCTACCTCCCGTTCTTTCCGCCGTTGTGCTGTGTAGGTAGTGATGTTACATACCGTTTTCATTGGAGCCGTAAGCAGCTACGCGAACACCGCTACGTTACGTACACCACGTTTGGCTACGCAACGGCTCCGATTTGCGTCACGAGAGCGTCCGCGAGCGTTCACGTTCGCGAGCGTCGCTTTTTGTTTCATAGAGAGCCGCGCGCATGTAAGGCCGCGTATCACGCTCGCGTATCACGGGCGCCGAAATGCGAAGCACCCGTTTACGAGGATCAGACTTTTATCGGCTGCGAAACGATGTTCATAAATTGCACTCAGAGCCGTAATCAGCTCAACGGGAGCCCGGGGCTAATCTTTCTCCTCCCCACCTCCCCCCGCCCCGCCGTCTTTCACATTACCTTGACTCGATAATGCCCTTGCCTCTGTTTCGCGCCGTCCTTGTGCCCTGCGGTTCTGCGATTACAGTCTCGAGTTTTGTTTCAGGCTCTCGCTGCGGCTCTGATTATATTTTTTTACGCGATTTTCTGTCGACGATCTCGAAACAGGGAAATCCGATAATACAATTATTCTAAGGAGTGTCTCCGGTTAACCGTCGAAACTATTAAGAGCACCATCAAAGGGATACGTTGCGATTCGCAGTGAAACAGAGGGGGGAGGGGAGAGAGAGAGAGAGAGAGAGAGAGAGAGAGAGAAGGAGAGGGAGAGAGACAGGGCGGGAAAGTAATTACCGACACGAGAGGAACGCGAGTCGACGTTTATTTCTATCAGTCGGACGTAACGCGGATAAAGGGCCATTAATTCCCGCGGACTCGGGGGTTACGTTTGGGACATTCTAAGAATGATTTATAACGATTACCCCTTTAACAGCGCGTCCTCCGCGTGCATCCACGGACGCGTCGCTACAAATCGCCGGGTCCTAATGCGCGTCATTGCGCGCTCTTCAAAGCCCGCGTGACCGCGTATCGCGAACGGGCAAACGCGTAAGAAAGCGGCGCGGCGGTGTGTTGCAACACTTTGCATTAAGAGTTATCATGCTTCTCTTCTCACTTCACGCCTGCGAGAAGTATGCCAATTAACGCGATTCCGCGGTGCGATTTTGTTTCGCGACGAAGAACACATGTGTCGCGCGCGGTCACATCTCTGGCCTCGCGAATACCGGAAGGGAAACAAGCGAAAGCGAGTCGCCGGGCTCGGCCACGCTAAATTGACCGTAAAAAAGTTGCTTCGGTTTGACAGCGCGAAATTCGCTGTTATTGGCGATTGCGCGAATATCGGCGCGGCGCGGCGGCGTGGCGCGACGCCACGCGTCAGCTCTGTCCCCCCCCCCTCTCGTATATGCGCGAAATACTTTTTTTTCTCGGCTTCTCCGAGTGCTACGCGCGCGCGCTCGAACGAAATTAAGCCATATGGCTACATCGTAGAGGCGTGCTGAGGCCGATGCGCCGCGCAACTGGTTGATTTATCGGTGCTTTCGCGTAGCGAAAACTAGCGAGAGAACCGAATTGGATTACGGCGCGTGCACAAATTGCTTTATTCAAATGCAATTTAAGGTCGCGCGTCTTCCGCAGACTGCAAAGAGGGCTGCCATGCAAACGGGTCAGCGTTTTCTCTTCTCCCCTTTCCCCTTTCCCTTTCCTTCCCCTCCCCCTCGCTCTGGCTCATTGCTTCTTTTCTTAGTCTCCTCGCGGGATCGTGCGAGCGATCGGTCGTAGGAACGAACGAGCGCCTGACGACATTCTCGACGCGCAAGCATGTCAAGCTTGTTGAGCGAAACTCTCGGCGGCCGTGCGTTTCGACATGTCTGTGTGTTTGTGCATTCCTCGTGTATTCCTCGGCGAGGCGAGCGACTCGCGCGACAACGCACTTAGCGCATCACTTAACGCCCGCTCAATCATCGGTCGAGTGTCGCTTTTTCGTCATCGCGCGCGCGCGCGAGCGTGGCTTCTGGCTGCAAAATGGCGTGAGATACGCAATTCAGGAGAACCGCACACGCGCGGACGAATCTGCGGTGGGAATTTTTCGAGGAAATATCCAGCGACATCGGGACGCTGCACTCGCGCGGCTGTCAACGGCGATCGGCGTCGTGTCGCGATTTTTCAGCCGACGACCGCGAACGGACGGTCCATCTTCGCGCGTTCGTCGGAGGAAGAAAAGACGACGGTGCTCTCTCGCGTCCGAGCGGATCACGACCGATGGCTGCGCGAGAACGACGGGCTTCACTCGGCGAGAGATCGATAACTAATAGAGACAGTAACTTTCGAATCGATGACGTTGCATAGTGCGCACGGTGACGTCCTCTACGTTTCGCCGCGAGAGCGAGAGCGAGAGCGAGAGCGAGAGCGTCGGCTCGTCCACGCGACTGTTACCGCAGCCGTCGCCGCGTAGCCTGCGATACGGAGTTTCAGCGCGGGGAAAAACGGGAGCGGGAGACAATTCGCTTTGGAGCTCGGCTGGAGATTAATTCCCGACACGTCCATTCTAGTCGTTCGTATTCCGCGCTCGCCGTCACATCGTTCGGTATCGGTATAGCCGTGAACACGGGGGTGGCTGGATTGGGGGTGTGCGAGACGGCGGCAGCGGCGGCGGCGCGGCGCGCGGCGGTGGGAGCGGGGGAGGGAAATGATTTCTAAACCGCGAGTCGTGGTATCGCGAGCGAGCTATATTTCATAGCCCGTACTCTTGAATCGTATCGCAGCGCGGTGGCGCGACCGCGGGTAAACAGTAAATTCATTTCGATCAGCGTCGACATTACCTCCTTCGGATTTACGATGAGGCTGCGCGATGCCAGCGGATGAAACGTGCTGATGATGGAGGAGGAGGAGGAGAAGGAGGAGGAAACCCGGGGGGATTTATTGCGCTCGCGAACCCTTCTTTATCTCGTTTCTAAAGCTTCCGCGCTTCCGGATTGGGAATATTGTGTTACTACTCCTTACATCGTAACATCCTCGAATCCTCACTCCTTCCGTCTCTCTTCATTCCCTCCCGCTACCCCCCACTGCCTTTCACCCGCTCAATCCTCGGTGTTTCCTCCATCTGCACCCTCGACAGCAGCTTCCCGAAGCCATTTATTGTTCTTGACCGTTGTTACCGTTGTTGCGCGTGCTGCCCGTTGCCCCTCCCCGAGAAGAAATTATGGCGCTTTTGAGCGATGGAGCGAGCCAGCGGATATCGTTTAGTTAGCCGTTCACGTGCTTCCCGTCGCGCGGTGGTTGGTTGTTGCTTTTGAGCGCACGCGAGCGCGTTGCGCTACGAGTTACATGAGGGTTATCCAGCGTCTTAGCGGGTACGGAGAAAAGATAAAGCGAGCAGAGAGAACGAGGGATTTCTACTTGAGAGAAAAAATCTGCTCGAATCATGAGAGAGACATAATCCGTTCCGGAAGCTCAACCACAGCCTCCCTCAGCCTCATTCTCCCCCGTCTTCCGCGCGTCTTCCGAAAGAAGCGTTCTCGATGTTGTAACTCGAACGTTTCACGCGCTTCGCGTAATCGCGCGATCTACGATAACAAGTTTCACAAACTCACGCGAACTCGCACGTCGAATTATGTGTCTCGCTTATTATCACGTGGCTCGCTAATTACTTGATATTTCGTCCGCGCAATTCATCAGTCGTTCTCCGTGTCGATCACAATGAGGCTTTCCCGCGTGACGTGATCTGCATTGGCTCGTGTGAGGTATACGCGTGAGACCGATGGACAGTGAAGAGAAAGTACGGTCTTTAAAGGGGCAGGGGGAGGAGCAGGCCGGTGCGGTGTGTATTGAGTTAATGGAAATTGATTCGCGAGATCGGACTTATGGTGTCGTTATTGAATTTATCGCGGCGGGAATGGTTAATAAAACTGTGCTCTAAGTGGAACGATGGATCTAATAACTAGCTTGCGCAAAGCAGAATAGACTGCACGGTGAATGGAAGAAAGGCATCGTATTACGTCAAGGTAGCGAACGGGAAGTCCTTATAATGTAGGATTGTTATGCGAGGCAGACTTAAGCTATATGGAGAGCTTCCGATCGGTGTAATAATAGAGTTATTAAATTTGCTATCCGCGAATACCGGCGTTTACTAAAAACAGAAAAAATACATGTATGTTCAACATTTGTCGAATGTATCTTTTTCGTTCTCTCTCTCTCTCTCTCTCTCTCTCTCTCTCTCTCTCTCTCTCTGTGTGTGTGTGTATGTCTCTCTGGAAAAAATCGTGACATAAAAAATAAAAAACGATGATAACAACAAAAATAACGAGAGTAACATTGTCGTGCTTCACAACCAAGTCCGCGTTAACATGCTTAAATTAAACAGACGAGAACGCGAGCGGAGAAAAAAGATAAATAAAAAAAGACGTTCGTATCTGCGGACGCCGTAACCTTTGTATGCGGATTTTCTCGGCGAGAAAAGAAATAGGCGAGAAAAGAAAATTGAGGTAATAGGATTGGCGCTAATTAACGACGGTGTAACAGGAGCCGCCGAGTCACTACTACTACCTTCCTCACTTCTTTTGGTGTATCTCGAAATCGAGACACGACCGGAGACGTCACTCCTCCTGACGTAAAACGCGCGCCCACGCGCGCTTGTCTCGTACGCGAACGTGCGAGAAATATCCCGGCTCATCTGCGGGAGGGGAGGGTGAATCGTTTCTCGATTTCGGCCTCCCGAGAAAGGTACACGTTGAAAAGCACTCTCCGAAGGCTCTCGCGCCTCCTCGCGAAAGTTGCGTTCTACTTCTAACGTCGCGGATGTCGGGTGGGCGCGCAACAGAAAGTAACGAGTAGGTAGGATAAGGACCGGGCGGCAGCGGGTCGGAGGGAGGAAAGGGTTGGAGGGAGGAAAAAACTCCGCCGCGCGGAGAAAACCGAATCAATAAACCTACGATCTCGTCTCCGGCCTGCTGCCTTGCAGTACCTGCTTATGTAACATCGGCCGCATTAAACGCGCCGTGTCGCGCCGCGGGAATCGCGCAGTGCGCGCCGACAATTAGGCGGCGTTCTCGGACGGCGAACTTTGGCCAACGTCGCGATCAACGTCGCTGCCGCCAGTTCGTGTTTATTCATCGCCGGATCCTTTTCTATTTATTTGTCCGTGAGGTGCGGACACTTATACATGTGCTGTTGTTT